AAATCTAGAGGAGACTGGATCATTCTCGGCGCCCATATTATAACTCTCTCTCGGGTCGGCGCCAGAACCAGAAGAGACGTCCGCACGAGTTTTAACTTATGTCATATTTTTTTTTATTTGAGACTGTTAAATAACTATTATTTTTTAAACATACATTTTATTTTATTTTATTTTTACTCTTTATTTATTTATTACTTTTAATCTCTACTTTCATAAAAAGGATAAATTTGTCATAAAATAATAAATTTGTCAATTTATATCAAAAAATAATTACCTAAAAAATAGTGCAAATATACTTTAAGACAATCATAAATGGACAAAGAAAGTATTATATTATATTCACATTTCTATTAATTTTTTTAAAAAATATATTACTATATTATAATTTTTTAAATTTAATTAAACTAATTAGTTATACTCCTCTTAATTCTTAAATTCAGTACTACATATATTGAAAATCTTTGCCGATTTTCCAAAAAAAAAAAAAATTAATTATTGAATGTTCAAAATTTAGTGAGTTTATGAAATAACAATAGTGTGTTATTTGTTTATTTGTATTTTGTTTTTTTAAAAAAATTTAGTGATATAAAAAAAAATATCTAGAAAAAACATTTGTCTTTAAAATATACACATTTTAAATATAATAATATATGGACTCTTGATATACATTATAAACCATTCAAATATGACTTTATAAAGATCGAATAAAATTGATTGGACAAACAAATTCCCACCCCAAAAAATAATAGTATTTGCTACTATTTGTATATAAAAGTATTGTTTATTGGTATTTTAAATTCAATAAATATTTTTGTGTATGATATAACAAATTAAATCACAAAATATAAATAACTCATGACTGTGTTCATTCAATTGATGCAATTCCCAATAAATATTATTTAAAAATATAATATATACAAAAATACAATATATATATATTTTATTCATTCACAAAAATCAATTAATTCAGTATATATAGGACACATACAATTTTTCATAGTTAATATAAAAAATAATTTTTAAAGGAAAAGGGACTCAGTAACCCAAAGTGAGTGGGTTCTTGCCCCTTCGAGTATAGACATTGGGCTGACTTGGGCCCTAACTAGTAACAAGCACCATTTGTGGAACCATGACATGAGATGATGCAATATTGACTGTTATAATCGAAATTCAAGCTCTAGGTGGAGATTCATGATATCCAAACATTTTCCAAGTCACATTACATACCTCAAGTAAAGGGATGCCCTGCCTTTCAACAACCACCAATAATGTATTACATAAAATACCACAATCTCGTCCCGTAGATGACCTGGTGGTGTACAAGTGAACACTTTCGGATAGCGAATAAAAAAATAAAAAAAGCACCATCTCAATTTTACACAGCCAATTCTTCTTGAAAGAGCACATTTACCTGCCAGGCCTTGTTGATGAGATCTAATATGTTGGTATTGATTTTCCAAATGACAATGTCGGGTTATTTCCATGCAACTCTCCGATGAAATGGCGCTCCAAAATGTCCTACATGTGACATGTAAGATAGATCATTTAGCCAATATGACCATAGTAGATGGCAATTTAGATGAAAAACTTTGTACTAGTCACTGACTCTAATCCAGACAAGAAAGAAGATTAGTTAAAAGCACATCATCTCATTTTTCAAAGTGAGCCCCCGTTCTCCCATCTGAGTCGCCTTTGTAACTGGATCCCAATTATCTGAATTCACATATATGGTTCAAAGTTTGCACATTCACAATGTAGCACTCTAAATAAGAAGGTGATATGCATACTAAGGGTGTGTTTGTTTGAGGGATTTGTTTGGACTTCCACTATTCATCCTATTTTTTCCCCCTAAAAACATCAAATCAAACACCTATTTTTTATTTTTTATATTATACTAAAAATCAATTTTACATTCAAAACATCACATCAACACCTATTTATATCACATCATACAACTATTCAAATTTAAAATTTTTACTATTCAAATCCCAACTCAAAATCCAAACCCTCAAACAAACACACCCTTAGAGTTACGAGAGAATACCTAAAGGAAAACTTCAACCTGTTGTAAGGAGTGTTTTTGGCTACACTTTGAGATGGAAAACTATTGCACCTTGTTTTTTAGGTGACATATACCAAACTCAGAAGCAACTCTTTTCAACAGGTGCTATCCCTTGGTTTCCAAGCCACATGCTTTGGGTATGCGATTAGCAACTAGGCTTGTTAGGGTAGATTTCTAGGTAGTCCACCTCACTTAGCTTCTTCAAACTCCAGAATGGATTCCATCTTACCACCTCTTAGCCTTTGCATATAGCAAAAGCATTTCCTGGGAAACATAAAAATGTCATGTCGGCTAAAAAATTCTATCTTGTATCCGATTAAACATAAAAGTGGCTTATATTTTATTTTACGACAAGTTGCAACCTTGTAATTGATTCCAGGAATCAAATCAGTAACTAAGTAGGCTCGATAAAGTTCTCTGTGCACATTAGAGTTTACCCGTAGATAAAGATCTTACATGATAAAAGATTCATAAGTTAAAGGGGAACTACAGTGGGAAAACCAAACGATTAGCCACAAGACTGAAGCAATGAAACTAAACCAAAAAACACCCTTTTGTGCAATTTAGCCTATAAAATGTTTTCATTGTATTATAAGGAAAGGTTAAAGAGACTAATACACTGAACCACACATGATATAACCAACCAATGGGCAAGCCTACAAGCTTATCACACAGTAAGCATAATTAATATAAATACACATTATTAGGCATTTGGTCTAGTGGTATGATTCTCGCTTAGGGTGCGAGAGGTTCTCGGAATGCCCCACTTTTTAACAGGTTAAACCATTTACAATAGATGCATCCCCCTGGAGTTGGTATATATACTAAAACAGCTGTGTAAAATTTTTATACTATCTCATTTTAGTAGATTGCTGCATTTTATAACCCTGTTCTTTATATGTGCCAAAGTCAATTACAGACAGAAATTACTTTGGAGCAAAAGAAAGCCAAGATGCAATACCTTTATACTTCCATAGCTTCATAATTTATGCATCGTTGTAGAGATGGTGAAAAAACTAAACAGCAGTGGCCGCATCTACGCTACTGCTAACATCTACCAGTTTCCAGAACTTGGAATCCATTCACTCAACTCACATTAAAGATTAAATAATATCAAGTCAACCAACAGATTTAACATATTTTAGGTAAAACAGAATATGGATCTAGTGGATAAGCAATTAAGCATAGTCCATATAAATAGCAGTAGAAAATAACTCAAAGTTTGTTAATAAACCAAACCAGGGCCTAGTCACCATAATAAATTTAGGGATTAATAGAAGTATTAGGGGTCTAGATATCGACCAACTTAGACTGTCAACAAAGCCAAAGTGATGGAGAAAACAAAATTGAAGCACCATTTTCCATAAGTTACTGAACAACCACGTAGATCATATTTGATAGAAATCTCTCAGCTGACAGCATAGAATGCTAACTTTAGCAGCTGATTTATTGCAAGTGTGAAATTAAATATAGCAATTTTCTCCAAAATTTTGGCAAAGAGCGAGGTAAGCAATTCAGACAATGAACAAATGTTTTCAAATTAACTTGGTATCTCTTTAAAGTAAGCCTATTCAGATAAGCCATTATCATTTGGAAGTAATATAAGCCAGTTGAACCTTCCAACAATAATATAATCCAAATACAACGGAAAGAGCCACTATGCAGAGTGCTGAAACAGAAATTCAGCACTGTGAACTAAGTGTCACCTAGTTGAAGTAGTCCAAAGATATAGGATACTTCTGGTTCATCTGGAGAAAAAATATCAGAAGTAAAGTATATGGAAAGATCATGTTCGGAAAATTAAAAATGAGATGCTACAAATCAAAAATCTGTTACCAATTTTTTTTTTTTTTTTTTGGTTTGGACAATGTAATATTAGAACCACTCAGAACAATATAACTGTTGAATGATATTTATCTTCCAAGCATTTATCAGTGATTCAAATTGGCTATAATAGAAAAACTGAATATATAAACAATCAATAGGCATGGCCACAGGTTTATCATGCAACAAGCATAATCACCTTACATAGTTGGGCATTTGGTCTAGTGGTATGATTCTCGCTTTGGGTGCGAGAGGTCCCGAGTTCGATTCTCGGAATGCCCCACTAACCAAGTTCATGATTTTTTTTTTAATCAGCTTTACAATATTTTAAACCTTATTTATGCAAACTAAACCACTAAATTAGATTTGCAAAACCAAACCAACCACTACTTAACCTTTATTTCACATGTATAGTTATTATACAAGATGTATCATATAACCTCAGCCATATCAACTAAACAGCTATTGTAAGCTATTTACCCTTTTATACTAATGCTGTATTTACACAGTTTTCACAACTTGGCATCATTTTGCTCAACTTAGTTTTCCAGAAAGACAAAAACCTATAATACAAAGTCAACCTAAAAACAAAGACAAATAATAAAGGTAGTACAAATATTGTTAATAAGCTCATAATGAACTTTCAAAAGCGTTACGCAGATCACTTTGTCAAAGCACTTAATTCCAAAACTACCAGCCTAATGGATCTAGGTTGACTCTACAGATAAAGAACATGACATTACAGAAAATAAAAAAATAAATTAAAAAACCCAGATGTACAGATTAAGCAGTGGAAACCAAACATACAGTCTAGTGGTATGATTCTTGCTTTAGGAACAAGAGATCTAAGCTCAATCTTTAAAATGCCCCAAGTAGTTGCTTCATTGATTCTTACAATGTGAAATGCATCCTTCTTTATGTTTTCCTAAGCTACACATTATTTCAATTTTGTATTTCGACTTCAACGTTTCCTTGAATATTATAGCTAAAATCAAAGTAAACCTTGTTTTCAAAACGAGCACTGAATATGACAGCTTCAACAAAGATCACTACAAAACACAGCCCACATTTCACACATATATTCTTAACAACAAGTAGTTAGTAAATATGTAATAACGCGGAGCATAACTACATATTATCTGATACAATAAATCAACATAAACCCACGATCCAGTTAATTTTTTATTTTAATAATCAAGGGCTACACATAGTGAGGTCGTCGGGCATTAAATTGTTTGAACAGTATAACCCTATAAAATACTGCGCAACGTGCTTATAGCTATCATTAAAAAATTAACATCAACAGCAACAATAAATACGAATCGGCTGGAAATTAGGACTCACAGCATGACAATGCAAGATGAATTAGATACATCGTCTGTACAAAAATTAAATATAATACGAAACTTGCACAGAAAGAAGTGGGGGATGACCCACTTGCAAACTACTCCAGTAAAGTAATTCTCTGAAAATCTTACCTTCTTCGGCAGACTTCTCCTAGCTTCCAAGACGCGAATACAAAGGAAAGGAAAGGTATGGAGTAAATGGGTACACGAATCGTCGAAGTTCATACTCGAATCGAATGTGGGAGAATCGCTTAAACGGCGTCGTTAGAAGCAGGCATCCATATTCATCAATTTAAGTAGGGCGTGTTTGTCTGTATTTAAATTTGAGATTATGTAAAGTAAATATGTATTTGTACCCTAATATTTTGAATATAAAATAATTTTTTTTAATAATAAAAATGTAAAATGTAATACTCCCTCCCCATATTTATTTTTTTATTTTACTCTGTCCTATAATAACAAAGTATTTATTTTTTTAGTAGATGTAACATTACAAATATCATTATAACTTACAATATATTACACAAATATTATTACATTTATATCATATATACTAATAAGGATATTTTAGTTATTTCTCCTTTATTTCTACTATATTCTAATATAATATTAATATTTTTAAAATTACTTAAAAAAAAACAAATGGATATTTAATTTCGATATTTAATTTCGGGGGAGGGAGTTTTTTATTTGAAAGCAATAAAAAATTGGTAAGTTTTTATAAAAGAAAAGTGTATTTCTTTTTTTTAACACAAATATTTTTTACTAATTTGGTTACATCTATTTTTTTATTTTTATTTTTTTTTGTAGCTTTTTACCCATACTTGACAATTAAGGGTTAATTGATTAATTGTTGATTTGACTACATGATATATTAATTATTTGTGTTAGAATGCTTAATAAAATAATTATTTTCTATTAGTTGTTTATAATGACAGTTAAGAAAAGATTTTTATATTTATTTATAGAATATTAAGTTGTAGCTTTGTTTAGTGTAGGAATGCATTCGGTCGGTTTTCAATTTTTGAATTTGAAAAAATTGAAAGCGAAGCTAAACAAAAAATTTTCGAAACTAAAGTTTGATTTTCTTTGGTTTAGAACTGAACAAATCTATTTTATTTTTAGAAATAATTTGATGGATTAAAAATAAAATCAAATAATTCATAATAAGCCAAGAAAACAACTACATCACAAGCCTAACATAAATGCATTATCATTCAAATTCCAAAAATCAGTATCATGTCCATCATTCAAGCTTCAAAAGTGAAATAAATCTTTGTAGGGATTGGATTTGTGATCGATTTTCTATATTAAGATTCAAGTTGAATGACCTTCGGATTCTTCAGTTGCCTTTTTGCTTCACAATCTAGAAAGTTTGTTAGATGATGCAACACAATTAGAAGTTGTGTTAGCATATAAGTGACCTAGGGTTCGTCAAAATTCCAAAGGTTGATTTTTTTTTTCGGGAAAAAAAAAATTTGGAAAAACTTGGGCGACAAAAACACTCTTGGAAACTCAAAATCCAACAACTCTAACCTGATGGATTCACACATATTGGCAATGATCGGGCTATCAACAAAGCCGATACTAAATCGAAATTTTAGGACAACCTACAAGTGCGAAACTCACAAGTTTTAGAGATAAAGTTCTCAATGGACTGCAATTATCACTTGCATATTCCCGTGTTTGTATTACAAGAGAGGGACTATTTATAAACCTGGCTTTACAACATAAGTCCCTAAAATATGACAAAATTAAGATATAGGGAAAAAGTATAACATATAAGGCAAAGAATACTGTACCAAAGTCAAATGGCAATCCTGCACGCTGGGAATGATTTCAATGTTCAGCGACCTCCAAAAGCATGCCGGTAGTAGGTGTAGTCTGTAAGTTGACCTTTGTCACCTTCAGCAAGTGTTGCCAATTCTGTCGCAGATGATGAGCAAGAGAGGGCTTGACTTGCCATCGGAAAGCATTGGTGGCAACAAGGGCAAGTCTGATCAAGCCAGGTTGTTGCTAGAGTATGGAATTATGAAGGGGCAATCACAACCATGGTTGAATGAAGGGAATGGTTCAGAATGATATTTTACCTAGTTGTTGAATTCCAATCCTTTTGCTCGGCCCCAACAACATGGAATGTTCCATTACTCAAAATGCCAAATCCCAAGTTATCTGCTAGTTTGGGAGGTTTTCCATATTGGATAACAGCAAAGTCAATATAATTCAGATGTAAATAGTAATACATCCTCCAATCACGAAGAACAAAGCAAATTTCATAATTCTATAAGGTAAGATTTTTTAAGAATACAACAGCTAGATATTCCAAATGAAGTTTTCTAAGCACATCAGATGTAGAGGGCTCACAGAATCAAAATTCCAAGTTAAAAAATAACCACATTTGGAAATAACGAAAATATTCGCAGAACCAAACAATGCAGCCAAACCCACAACACTTTTGATTGACATTCATTTCTACAGAATAGTGCATCTGCTGAGGACCATATAACAGAAAATCATTTCCATCCTCTGAATTTTGTATTACTATTGAAAAGGTTGAATGGTGTAGTACACTGAAATTACAAATGATAAAACAAATAGGAAAGCCTACCTTCTTATCATACAACTAACATGATTGACACACATAATCGGGCATTTGGTCTAGTGGTATGATTCTCGCTTTGGGTGCGAGAGGTCCCGAGTTCGATTCTCGGAATGCCCCAGATATTATTGATCCTACAGTTTTTTATTTAATTCTTTTTGGCCTGTAGCATGTTTAACACATTTAACAACATTGTGTTATTTAAAAGTAAAGTATTCAAGAAAAATCAATCGCTATGGGTGAACAACCTGTACCTAAGGTTTAAAAAAATTTAAATATTATTACTCAACCTCACCAGCCAAGCAATGGTCATGCTATAGGTAGTGGCAAATCCATCAATGCAATATAATTACAAAGCAATCGTGTCAGTAGGACGGGTGCACATATTAACTAGGTATCTATCTTAAGTACGCTTATTCTGATAGAAAACTAATATGTGGAAATAATTCTGCAAAACCTGCACAGTTTAGCTAATAAACTAAAGTAGAACACCTTTTTCACTTGCCTCTGAGATCAGTTCTGGATCAGAGTAGCTAATTGACTAGGCTGCATTTTATTGAAGTGTTCTAAAGCTCAAGGGTATGCTTAATCCATGCAAATATCAAATTTCATGTAAGGATCACTATTAGATCAAACCAGTTACACAACCAAGCAACTATAATAGGATGATACACATTAAAAAAGATTGGCATAAAATCTTACAGTTTGAGAACTCAATATTGTTGACACCATATGATTCCGATAATAATGTAGGAAACCTGTTGAATATATTAAATAAATACCAACAAAAAGAATGTCAGAGCCGCTGTAAAATGCTGTAAAAAAAAGTTCTTCACTGTAACACTGAAATATGGTGTGACTAAGTATTCTAGAATCCTAGAATGTTCCATGTTGGTCAAGAGTTATGATATTAAAATTCAAAACTACATCGAAAACCAATGTTTAAAAAATCACAGATCATGTTTTAATCAAACCCAATGTCTTTTTAGAAAACAATTGCCTGTTTTAGTGGGAAAATTGACATGTTAGAATTATATCAGACAAGATCATTAAAGAAAAGGGTCAAAGAAACTAGCACACAAACTAAAACTGATATAAGCAACTAATCCACAAGGGCATTTGGTTTGGAGGTATGATTCCCACTTTGGGTGCAGAGTCCCAAGCTTGATTCTAGCAATGCCTTGTCTGAACAAGTTAATGCATTTTCTTAACTGCCTTTCTTCAATTAACTCTTAATTTTAGAATGCGATTTATGCAAACTAAAGTCAACTATGGACATAAAGCAATGAATTCTAAAGCCAAGTAACTCCACATATACACTTGATTCATATATATATACATGTGTGTGTATATATACATATAATAAAATAAGCATAAGACAAACAGTTGAAAACAGGATAGTAGGTGAATGGGCATTTGGTCTAGCCGTACCCGTATGATCATTGCTTTTTGTGAGAGAGGTCCCATGTTCGTCTCTTCAAATGCCCCATTTAAACAAAGTATATTTGTAGAAACTACAATTATCAGTTACCATATGAATTAGTTAGTTCTTACATGCTAGCAATATATCAACAAAAGTGTAAATTCTTGGCAATGACTGTTTCCTGAGAAAGTTCCTTTTTTCGATTTTATTTTATTTCTTTGATTTAGTTGTTCTCCAAGGGGCCTAAATTTAGCAATTGATGAGCTAAAAGCAATAATAGACATCTAATTGATTGCAGATCACTTTAAATATTAGAGGGACGGGAAGCTCCATGGTAGGCAACACTTTGTTTCTTGTAACCTAGGCTTCAATGAAGTAATCCTTCGTGGCCACTGATTATATTGTAAAAATTGAGCATTTGGTCTAATTGTATGATTTCCACTTTGGGCAGACGTAATTTATATGATCTTACAATTTTATTAGTTCCCAGTTTCCCAGTCTTCCAATAAAACATTAAATAAATCAGAGGTAACTCAAATCATTAGTAAGTATGTTTCCAAATTTGTTTGTTTTTTATTTCAAACCAAATTTTACACTATTCGGTCCATAAGATTTTCAATAAAATATACTATTTTCTCTCACAAAATATTACATCAAAATACTATTTAAATCAAACCTCAAATCAAAATTTAAAACTCAAATCAAAACCAAAACACAAATGTTCCAGAAAATTAAAATAAATCATGAGGATTCATATATAAAATACTTTTACCACCACAAAAGCTCGCAGACAGCAAATAAATACAAAACAATTGAGATGCTGGCAGAGGTCATACCTATTAACACGTACTACATATATGTTTATGATACTACCCTATACTTTTAACAATAAAACTGTCAGTACACTGAGTGACAGTAATAAGAAAATCAACATTATTAAATTAGTGCATGTGAATCTCCAGAAAGAAGATGCTCTACATTATGTTTTTTAAAAAGTCAACTTTTAGATTGGAATAGTATCTCAAGGTATCATCTATAAAATATCACCCTTAGTAAGAAGTATTAGAAAATAGCAAAATCATCTATATTTCAAATAAACCATAAATTAACTTGTATTTATACTTTTTCTAATGTGAATTTTGAAGAGGGACGGAAATCAGAGTATAAGAGAATTTTGCATTTGTGCACTAGTAAATGGTATACATATTGAATATTTAACTATTAATGCATGCATATCCTGAGAATATATTCAACGGATGCTATGAAAGATAATTGTTTACAGGAAATAATTCCCGACTTTGACAGATGCTATCTTATAAACCAAAGGAAGCCTTGTCTTAGTTCCCCTCTAAGAGATCAAATCAACATTGGATTACTGAAGCCCATGAGGCCCTGTTACAAACATTGCATGTATTTTTTATGATATCACCTTTCAACATATGAGAAAAATAAAGGCATTATCCACTGTTAGTCACCAATGGTATAAATCCTTATGTATCAAATACTATGTAACCAAGCAAAGCAACCCAGTTGCAACCAGACATGAGACATGTAATGGCAGTCGTACATTACAACCCAAGCTTTCAGACACATTGGGATACTTTTAGATATTTGTAGCAATAAAGCAATTAAATTCAGATAAAATCACCAAAATATTGTACAATAAATAAATAAAGGAGCTTCCAAAACTTATTATAAAATCAGTCACCTTAGGCTAGATAAAGTTTTCTGTAATCTGTACACATCAGAGTCTTTCTGTATATAAGATCTTATAGAATAAAAAAAAATTCAAAATTTACAGAAAGATTACAACGGAAAAACCAAGGAATTAGTTGCAACACTGAAAACAATGCAACTAAACCTAAAACCAACCTTTTTCCTGACCATTCTTTTGAATAGTGTAAACTATTTAAGACTGTAATCCATGAATCATATAAAACCTAGGTTTGTATAATAAAGAAAAAGGTTGAAAAGGTTCCGATCAAAAAAGAGAAAAAGGTTGAAAAGGCTAATACACTACACCACAATTCATATATAATCAACCAATGTGGAAAATCCTACAAGCTTATCATGCAATAAGCATAATTAATATGCATATACATGATCGGGCATTTGGTCTAGTGGTATGATTCTCGCTTCGGGTGCGAGAGGTCCCGAGTTCGATTCTCGGAATGCCCCGCTTTTCGGTTAAAGTGCATTTTTCTAACTGACTTCTTCAATCACCCATAATTTTTCATATTATGTCCACCAAAGCCAATCACACAGACAAATCATCACTTATCAAGTATTATAAAATCCAGAAAAATGCTTATTTAATCACAATATCTTCTACTAATATATATGCACCAAAGTCAATTACAGACAACAAATAATCACTTATGGAACAAAAGAAAGCCCAGATACAATTTCTTTTTACTTTCATAGTTCTTAATGCATCACCCTAGAGTATGTGTAAAATAAACAGGGGTTGCAGTATTTATACTTAGGCTGGCATCTACCAATTTTCAGAACTTGGAATCAATTTACACAAGTTACTTTTAAGATTATATAATTTCAAGGCAACAAACATATTTTAGGTAAAACACTCAAGGATATAATGAATAAGCATAGTCTATATGAAGAGCAGTAGAAAATAGCTCAAACTGTGTAAAGAAAAAACCAAACTAGGACCTAGTAATTACCATAAATTAAGGGAATTGATAGCAGTATTAGAGCCCTGTGGGAAAGAGTTATATTAAAGAAATTGATCAACTTAGATTGTCAGAAAAGCCAAAGTGATGCAGAAAAAAAAATTGCTACACCATTTTCGTAAGTTACTTAACAATCACATGGATCAAATTTGATAGAAATCTCTCAGCTGAGAGTACATGGATGCTTTGACTTTGGCAGTTAAACATCTGCAAGTGTAAAAATTGATCATAGCAATTTTCTCAGTTGATACAGACAAAGACCAAAGATAGGCAATTGTTGGACTTCCAAAGGGTTACACAAATAACTTTGTTCAATGAACATCAAGCAGATCCAGAAGATTGTGAATGAAAAGAAAAAATCAATAGAATTTGAAATTTTGGTCAGGAAAATACATACCTTAAAGAAAGAGGTATACATCCTATAGCACAATTTTGTTCTTATTTGGATATATTGGCCTTAATAAATTCTTTGCAGTTTATTAAATAAAAGCTATGCTAAACATCTAATGATCACAGAAAAACAAATTGAAAAAGATAGGGCAGGGCACTCCACCATGAGGAATTCCTTTGTGCATGTTTCCGTGCAAACAAGTGTGTTGTCTAGTTAAAGTAGTCTAAGAATATATGAAACACACTATTCATTTAGAGCACAAATGATCAGAAGTCAATTATTTAGGGAAAGCAAAAAAGTTTGAAAATGAAAAAGGAGACGCCACAAAACTAAACTCTACGACCATCCTTTTGATGGAGAAATACAATATCAGAACAATAAAGATCTAACTTTTGAAGGTGTTCTTTTACTGAAAAGTTCAAATGAACTAATACACAAAATGAATGATGTAAACATCAATAGGCATGTCCATAAGTTAATCATGCAACATAGTCAGCATACACAGTCGGGCATTTGGTCTAGTGGTATGATTCTCGCTTTGGGTGCGAGAGGTCCCGAGTTCGATTCTCGGAATGCCCCGAATAAACAAGTTAATGATCCTTTTTTTTTTTTTTTAACAGCCTTCTTTAATATCAACCTAATAAAAAAGTCAACTGCTAAAGCAAGCATACCACTGATTCACCTTTATTTTATTTCATACAAGGTGTATCATTCAACAGCAGCCATATCTAAATCATTTACACTTTTATGCTACTGCTATTATCTAGACAGTTTTTCACAAATTGGCATCATTTTGCCCAACTTTGTTTAAGAAATATATAATATAGCCCAACCAACAGAAGTTAGATATTTTAGGTTTCAGTAGTATGGATATAATAAATATTCATAGTATAATCTTAATAACATCAGAACATAACTCAAAATCTAAAAGGAATCAAACTGGATCCATTAGTAAAGACAGAGAAGTTAGGAATCAACATCTATATCCGGATCCAGTTTTAAATTGAAAATAAAATGGAAACAAATACAGATTTAACAAGTGGGCTAAAACCAAAATGGATGGAGAAACATAGATAAGGTAATTTTCAAAACTACACAACAATGGCTTGATCCACCATTCAACAGAGATCTACAAGCTGATAAACATTAAGATGATTTCTCTAGGAGCAGATCACTTATTATGAGTACATAACAAGAAAGTAACATAGCACTCTACTGAAACTATCACTGGTGTGATGCTAACAACAGTGGCACATACTACAGTTAGCACAAAAGTTGTTAATGAGAACATATTGAACTTTCAAAAAGGGTTACACAGGTCACTTTGTCAAAGCACTTAATTCCACACCTACCAACATAATGGATCTATTATAAGACTCTACAAATTGAGAACATGAAATAAAAAATTTTTACAACAAAGAAATGCCAGAAGTACAAATTAAGTATGGGCAACTGAACATTCAGTCTAGTGGTATGATTCTAGAGTTGGGAACTGAGGTCTAAGCTCAACAATTAAAATGTCACAAGCCATTTGTTCATATATTTTTCACAATACGAAATGCACCCTTATTGTGTCTTTTCAACCCAACACTCTTTCAATTCATTTTGACTACAATGTTTCGTTGAATAATATAAGGTGAATCATAGTAAACATTGTTCTCAAAATGAGCACTGGATATCACAGCTTCAACAAAGATCACATCGCTATTTAACACCACACCCAGATTAAGTAGGCAATGTAAAGTGGCAGCAGAACCACATGTAATCTGATACAATAGAAACACAAACACAGATTCGGTTCATTGTTATTTTAATAATGAAGGGCTACACATAGCGATGGTGTCGGGCAGTAAATGGTTTGAACAGCAGCAATAAATATGAATCGGCTGGAAATTAGGAATCATAGCACGACATACCAGATTTAGACGTTATTGTGAATACAATAATTTAATATAATACGAAATTTGCACAGAAAGAAAAGGGGCCGAATCCACTTGCAAACTTACTCCATTAAAGTATTTCTCTAAAATCTTACCTCCTTCGGCAGACTTCTCCGTTCGTTTCCGACTCGCGAATGGAAAAAATAAAATAACTTAAATAAAATGAATCGTGGAAGTTCATGCTCGAATATGTAGAGCATCGCCTAAACGGCGTCGTATGTAAGTTCAAGGGTCCCGTCCAATCTCTGCCATAAAAATACACCATTCGTTTTTTTACGATAATTAGTTAATAATTAAAAAAATATAATAATAAATAATTATAATATAATAAAATAATTATAAATTAAACTTAAAATAATTAAATAGTTTAATTAAAATTTAAAAAATTATAAAATATAAAAAATAGTTAAAATGTATAATTATTAAAAAGAAATGACAAATTATGACGAAAATAGAAAATATTGACCAAGATGAAATAACAAAATCGTTGAACAAAGTCAGCTACAGTTTTTCTTTTATTTTTTCTCTTTAATTTTAAATTATTTATTAATTTAAATATATGTATAAATTATATGTTTTTTTTATTTTTGTCAATATTTTATTTATAATAATTTATTTTTATATATTTATATTAAATATTTGATATTATTTGTAAATTTTAAAGAATTATAAAATAATATACTACATATAAAATAGAATATATATAGATTTTTTTTATTTTTTTTTACATGCAAAAATAAATTTATGATTTAAGATGAATAATTTAGGATTTGTTTTTTTAACAAAAAAATTTATAACGCATTTCTCTAAAATAATCAATATATTATACAAACTTATTATTTTTATATTATCTATATAAATTTTATATACAGGGCATAAAAGAATTTCTTCAAAGAAAAACACAAAACAAGCACACCCTTAAAATTTTATAAACTTCATTTGTGTTCAACTTTGTTTCAACATACAGGCACACATGTTGAATTGCTTGAGAATCCTGAGGCGGTTTATGCAAACCTTGTATCATCCCAAGAAGTCCTACACGAGCAAACAAACAAACATAAATGTGAAATCGACATGAACTCCAAGATATAATTTATTGAAACAATGCCATCAATGAAATATTTGGATTCTGAGTCATCTACAATGAAGAACACAGCCAGTGGCTTAGAGCAGATGTCAATTGATACACCTTCATCTAAAACATCAAAACAGAATCAAGAAGTTTCGATCTTCCAGCTTGCTTGTCTTAACAAGCCTGAGCTACCCGAACTAATAGCAGCAGCTGGATTCGCCGTTATTGCAGGTGCAATCTTGCCAATTTTCAGCTTAATAATGTATAAAATCATTAGCACTTTTTATGAAGCCCCACATAAACTGAAAAAAGATTCAAAATTTTGGGCTCTAATGATGCTTGTACTTGGAGTTACATCATTCATTGCTAATCCAGTGAGGTCGTATTTATTTGGTGTGGCCGGGAATAGGTTGGTTCGACGTATTAGACTAATGTGCTTTGAGAAAGTGATTCGCATGGAAGTAGGTTGGTTCGACAAGCCCGAGAACTCTAGTGGGGAGATCGGGTCACGGCTCTCTACAGATGCTGCTTTGGTTCGTCAATTGGTAGGCGATAACCTCTCACAGATTGTTCAGCAAGCAAGTTGGGAATTGTCCTTGGTCGCCCTTGCAATGACACCTATGATTGGATTTAATGGATATGTACAAATGAAGTCTAGGAAAGGATTTAGTATTAGTGCGAAGGTATATTTTCTAAACTCAAGAATCTGAATGTTGCATTTCATTTAAGATAACATCATTTATAAGTTATACTTTTGCTTGCTCGAAATAATTCCCTTCTATCAACTTTGCATGAGCTGTCCGAGTCTATATCATTTGTTGTTAATTTATGTGATGTGTTTGTATTATATTAATATAAATAATGTGCTGTCAATAGTAACGTCGTGTACTTTCTGTCAGTTTAATTATTGGATGTTGTTAAGCATAATACTAAAATTCAGCACTGTAGCTGCCGCCATATATATATATATATTGTAACTCTTTCAATGGAATAGATAATGGTTTTCTTCCAAAAGTCTTGTATCTTTGTTCTCAATCCTCCCTCCCCAAATCATAAATATTTTCTTGTATTTATTGTAGATCAAGTATGAGGAATCAAGTCAAGTTGCTAATGAAGCTGTTAATAACATAAGTCAACGGTGCTGGCTTCGGCTTATCCATATGCTTCTTGTAGTTGATCTACTCAATAATCTTCTACTCGGGAGCTCACTTTGTCGAGGATGGAAGATATACTGCCTCGGATGTTTTTTGTGTATGTTTTCTTGGTAATGTTATCGAGTCGTTCATTTTATTGAAGATGCTTTAATGCATATATAACTTCCCTGATAATACAGGTTTATTATGCTGTAAACATGGTGGCATTGGCGATATCCATATCGAGTTCATTCACCACAGATTTGAGCAAAGCAAAGACTGCAGCTGCTTCTGTATTTGCAATTTTGAAGAGCAAATCATGCATTGATCCTAGTGAAGATACAGGCACGATTCCAATAAGTATTGATGGAAAAATTGAACTCAAACATGTCTACTTCAACTATCCAACTAGGCCAAACATTCGGGTTTTGCAAGATCTTTCCTTGACAATTCACAGTGGCGAGGTGACAAATATTTTCGATGAAATTCCATAATCATCTTTGATTTTCATACATAAATATTCTACATTGACAATATATTGCAGATTGTTGCTCTAGTTGGGGAGACTGGGAGTGGGAAATCAACTGTGATTTCATTACTACAAAGATTCTACGACCCGAATTCGGGTGTCATTACAATGGATGGAATCGAGATACAAAAGCTCCAAGTGAAATGGCTAAGGCAACAAATGGGGCTTGTAAGCCCAGGGCCTATCTTGTTCAACAACACTATCGAGCCAACATTGCGAGCAGAAAGGGAGAAAATACAACCGAGGCAGAAGTCATAGCCGCGGCAAAGTCAGCAAATTCACATGAATTCATTAGCAGTTTGCAGCAGGTCATATTTCTTGAAAATCCAATGTCATCAATAAAAAAAAAAAAAAACTTAAATCGAAAACAATTGTTCCTTACATTTATTTTTAAAAAAATTTGAATACTTATTTGATGTGATCAATTGTTCCTAGGGATATGATACAATAGTAGGGAAACGTGGGATTCAGCTATCCAGGGGACAAAAGCAAAGAGTGGCTATTGCACGGGCCCTCGTTAAGAGCCCAAAAATACTACTCTTGGACGAGGCTACAAGCTCATTAGACGCCGAGTCTGAGAAAATAGTTTAACAAGCATTGGACAAGGTGATGAAGGATAAGACAACCATTGTAGTTGCACATAGATTGTCGACAATTAGAGGTGCAGATTCAATAGCTGCCTTTAAAAATAAAAGCATAGTCGAGAAAGGGTGCCACGACGCTTTAATGGAGATGAGCGACGGCGCGTCTACTCCTCTTTAGTGAGACTTCACACAATTACTACTTCATCATGATCAATCATTTTCATCATTCATTTTTCTAGCTTGTAATTAAGCATTTTAATTGTATCGACTCTTTGCTACATGTCACATGAAAACTCTGCCATGGAAGAAACCAGGATCTCACTTTTTTTTTTTTCTGTATCTTGTTTATTAAGTTTGCTGGTCTTTAGTACCAGAAAAAATATTAAATTTTAGATTTTATTTGATCTATTGATTTTCACAAGATGATGGATTTGATTAATTCTACTATGCTATTACTCTTTGTTGGGCTATTATTATTTTGTTAAATCCCCCAATCATTTTTCATATTATTATGTATTGAAAATTAATCAGTGTACTGTACCAATTATAAATTAATACAAACAATTAAATTAAAAAAATTGGTTTTAATAATTTAAAATCAATTAATATTAAAAAAAATGAAGCAATCAAATAATTATTATAATTTAAACAATATAGTATTACATAAAATTTTCTAATTTTTTTATGCTTAAAAGTATTTTTACTCACTTTCACCCAAAGATATAAATATAAATTGAACTAATTGATAAATATTATAGATGAATATGTTATTTTATATTTTTTGGAAAAAAAAAAAATTTAACTCAAATCACACTATTCATTATTTTTTTAGTTAAATTATAAAGTTAAATAGTTATTCCTTTTTATATTACAGTAAATATAATATTTAAAATAACATGTTAATATTGATTATATTATATTAAATAATTATTTAAATTTAAAATTTTATTATTTAAAATTCAATTTTGTATTTATCTTTTTGGAGAATAAATTAAATCCAAATTCGGAATTCTTTATTAACTATTTTATAAATATCTTTTTTTATTTTATTTTACACTGAAAAAAATTTAATTAAATATTATATCAAATCATTATTACAATTAAAACTATTATTATTTAAAACTCAAATATGTAATTTTTTTTTTGAAAAAAATAAAATAAAACCCAAGGAGTATTTTATTTATTTATTTTGAACTATACACTCTCAGCTCTAATCACTTTATTTTATTCATCTCAAATTCAAAACATCTATATCACTAAAGGATGGATTATATATCAATAATTGCAATTTAAAAGTTTTAAAAGCATTCCAAAGTCACTTTACTAAAATGTCTAAAATTTCAATATTTTATTCATCTTTCATCTGTTAATTAACTTTTTTTTTTAATATTTTAATAATATATATATAGAAAATATCGAACCCATTCATTGAGACCCACCATTGATTTGTTAAAATAATTTTGTTATGCATAAAATAATAATTAACTTTTATACCTTTTATATAAATAAAATTGAATTAAGTCTGGTAAGAGATAACTAGGTGGCGTACGGGTTGGACTTGTGAATATGAGGTTATGAGTTTTCTCAGGTCCACCACCTGCCACACATGATTCGCCTAGTGTGACTTTTCTGTCGAACCTGGTTTGCAGGTTTTGGGTTCGACCGGAAGTTTACCAGTGCATACTTTCGAGTAACGGCCGCGGGTTCTCATATTAAAAAAAAAAAAAAAAAATCCACTATGTCTTATTAGTGAAATCCTTATAGATTAGGTATCTCGGTTCGATTTGGAATGGGTGCAAAAAAACTATGGTTGCATTTGAGTTGATTTTTTTAAAAGTTTTAATTTTAAATTTGAATAGTAGTTTTTATATAATATTTTATAGGAATTTGTTAGGATTTCATAGTAAAAATGTGAAAATATTTTTTGATTGAATAACTTTTATGAGCGTATTTGTTCAGTATTCATAATTTTAAGTCTCTTATTGTAAAATTGAAAATTTATGAAGTATTATTTTTATTTTTATTTGTCCAAATATAAAGTAAATATTTATTTTTTTAGTAAATATGAACCCAACCCATGTTACACCTACTTTCACTTTTATACTTATTTACGTAAATATCATTACATTCATATTTTTTATCATAATATATTTGTCTTATATCAAAACTATAATTCATCATAATTGAAATATAATATTTTTGAAAATACTTGCTAAAAATAAATGTTTATTTTTAAATAGACGTAGAAATTTTTTTTTTTTTTACATTTTTGTTGATATTTATTATTATATATATATATATATTTTTCTTTGCTAATATTTTTTTTTAAAAAAAAATTGTATAAAAATAAACTAACTAAAGATACTGTATGTTTCAGATATCAATGCTACAATGACATAAGATAATCTGCATCATTCTCTTGTAAAATTCTATATTTTCTACAACTCTATGAAGAACTTTACTTTGTATGCTTGCAATTTTTATAAAATATACATGTTTTTTTTCAATAAAATATAACATTCAACTCACTATTTAATTAAAAAAGAGTAGAAAAAAAATCCAATAAAATATACATGTTTTTTTTCAATAAAATATAACATTCAACTCACTATTTAATTAAAAAAGAGTAGAAAAAAAATCCAATAAACAAATCCATAATAATAATAATAATAATAATAATAATACCCAGAGTTTATGGTTATTCAAATAATTCTATTAAATATGTTGTCAATTAATATATGTAAAGCTTGAGTTATAAAACAAATCTGAGTTTAAATATAAAAGTTGATATGTTTAGTTATTTTTTTCATAATTATTTTTTTACTATTAATAAAAAAAATTCTCTCTAAAAAATATAATACCTAACAAGGAGTATTTTTATTTTTAATGTAAATAATATGTTTTTTAAATATCTATTTATATTGTATTAAACATTTGTTTTCTATTAAATCTTTTAGTATTCCAAAACAACTAAAAAACAAATAAATCTTAATACATTAATTCAATGTGACTTTCCTATGATAGCAATATTTATTCATCAATAATTCCCTCATATTCTTTATAGATATTTCCATTTCATTCTCTTGATATTTATTTATTTTTTTAAAATAATAATAATAATTTTTTCAATTGCAAGAAAGCTATAATTGAAGTATGGTAATGATGTATGCAAAAGTTCCCTTATGTGGAATCCACATTAATAAAGTATTGGTTATATAAAATAAAGATAAAACAATTATAATTGAAACATATATTGTGTGTTTAATTGGTACATGTTTTTATTTAATATCTTAAATTTCTCAAAAAGAATATATTCAATGTAAATTGTTCATATAAAAATTATTTTCCCTTGAAAAAATGATAAATAAATCCTCATTTTTCGTTATGATTAAGATATATATATATATATATATGCATATATATTCATTAATTAAAACCATCAAGTAATTGTGTTTTTTATTGGATGCAGCAAATCATGTGTTAATCCGGTCAAGTCAGCATGGTACTGATATGATCAGGTCAGCATATGTTATATAAGTTATCATCCTATATTTATACCTAGGTCAGCATATGATGTGTTATAAAATAATATATGTTAGAGTTATAATATTATATATATTGTAGTATAAAATGCTTAAATAAATATAAATATATATTTGTCACCTCTATTGAATATGTTGATCCGATCGAATTAACACCATGCTAACTTGTTGATTCATGCTTTTTTTACCTTATTCAAAAAAAGAGCGTTTAGTTGACAAAGTTACTCCAATGTAATATGCTCTTTGTTTCATCTTATTCCATACTCACTTGAGGCTAGCATAGTTTCACACTTTCACTTATATATTATATTAGCTTGTGATAGCAAAAAATTGATACTTCTTAAGAATGTGATGGATAGACCATGCGAACAAAGAGGAAATGGAAAATCACTACGTAGGAAAAAAGTACGAAGACAATAAAAGAAAGAAACGAAAGTTGGAAGTTGAAAGTAAAGTGAAACGTCAAAATTATGCAATGTGAAGTTAGATTATCTAATGTTATTGTAGAACCCAAAAAAGACAAAGTTGTAATGCTTAAAAAAGACTACGCGAAATGATAAGAAGTGAAAAGAAATTGTCGAATGGAAGAATAAGTCACCAAATCAAGAGGAAAACCTTCTCCATGAACGGATCGGAGTTAAAAATTCTGAGGTATTTAATTTCTTCTCAAGAAGAAATTGTACTTTGTGCTAGTGTAGTGAGACTCAACTGGCGAATTTCTTAAAGATGTCGAGAGATTGTCAGGCCAGCAAAGGTGTTCGAGAAAGAATAATCTGACCCGTTATAAGTTAAAACTTTTGGACAACAAACATAACAAGAGTTAAGTGTGGACTTAATCAAAACCTAGCTACCAAAAAAATTATTGAAGGACAAGTTCACATTTGAATAATTTAACCTAAGAGTATCGTTTATTTGTCTATTCATGTTAATATAGATAAATTTTATGTGTCTGTGTTACAGGCCAACTTGCAATGTGCATATGTTAAAAATGCTCGTTTTTAATTTAAAATCACACCAGGTGGCCAAAAATTATTCATTTTCTACTTCCTTAATACTTTGGCCTCTTATTGGTATTGTTTTTCCATTGTCCATTTGCATCTTGACTTGGGACTATTTTAATTGCTTAAGATGTGTGTCACATGACACTTTTTACAACATTTATTAATTTGAACCACAAATATTTCCTTATACCACATATTTATAAGTTAAATTTATTTCATAATGGTGACGTCTCCGGGATTGGGCCATTGTTTGGCAATGAGCCTTGATTAGGTCATTATCTAAAGTTGATTACAGATTAAATGAATTGAATAGACATGTCAACAATAATTGTGCAAACTCGTGTTGACTTGTACGCCTGGCTCTGCGTGGCTTGCGGGCCGGGGTGTGACAATAATACTCTTATATGTTTATACTACATAATTATACTTTAAAATTATATCACACCAATTTTTTTTAGATATTAATGTTTTGTTAATTTCCATAACGTCAAATAATTTATTACACAATCTCAAGCATTGTTTTAATTAAAAAATTATATCACTATATCCAAAACACAATTAAACCTAGACTCATTTTCAAGTTATTCTGAATTCAAATATTTTTACTATTCGAAAAACTAACAAAAACCCCTCCTACAATACAAGTAAATTAAACACAGCCTTTATTGTTAATGGCCTTATCCTTGTTGTAAATAGATATGCAGTGTTTCTTAATGAAGCTATGATGTGGCATGTTTAGATATATTTAAAAATATGTTGAAGTTTCAAAATAGTCAAAAAAAAAAAAAAAAAAAAATAGAATATGGAAATTATTAAATCTATTGCAAATAGATACTTCCTCCTCTTAAAACAAATATGTTCATATTTTTCAACATTGGTTTTAATATGGTGTGTGTTTCTGTTTATTCTGTTATTTTTTTGCCTTTTAAAAGTCAAATAAAAAAATAAACACATTTTTAAGAGACATAATTAAATGTGATATTTTAGATTAAAAAATGTGTAAACTCATGCAATTCTTCGTGGGGTGTAGCTACAATAGCAACATTTTTAATGAAAATTAAGTTATGAATTTTATATTCAAGAAATTTTGATTAAGAACGTGAAAACAACATTGAGAACATAAGGAAACAAAGTCATAATGTTACTCCAATAAAGAGTGGACAGTATGCACGAGCAAAACCAAGTAGCACACTTAATGTTGTAGAAAAAATTATTTATTTATTTATTTTTGTTTGTAGGATCGAGTATCTATTAATTTATATATATATACATATATATATTATAGAATATGTTCAGAATCTTGTTACAAACTAGGCCAAAATAGAAAAAAAAAAATATTACTTCCGTCCGGCTCTATGGATTTTTTTTTAGTTGATTTTTGAATATTAATTATTCTATCAAAATACAGTACAAATTAATAAAAAATTACAAAAAAATATGACCTTAGAGACAGACGAAGAAAATATTTAATAGTGTCCTCAAATTCTACGGAGAAAATTATCTTTGTTAACTTATTAGAATTATTTTTATATTCATGTCAATATTTCACATGAATATATATAAAAAAAAATGCTCATTGTTTTTTTACTAGGCGAGAATTCGCAACTGCTATTCGAAAGTATCTCACCAGAAATGTTTATTGTTCAAATCACTATCACATGGACCAAAAGTATTCCCAAATCTCATCCAATCGAAGAACCCACGTTTTTTGCTTTATTTCTTTATAATTTGGTCCATTATTGGTACTTTTTTTATTGCTGATGAAGTTCGACCTCATGATGTGTGAACATCGTTTTTGAGGACTTTTTTTATTGATGATTTGCTGTAAATATATAAATTAATAGATACTACGTATTCGTTTAAACTTAAGTTTGGTCCTTTTAACATTTAACATAAATCCGTGTTCAAGTTTCACCGCAACACATTCATTGTCGTTCACGTGCAAAATTCATAAGTCGCGTATATGCACCCATTCGTTGTTGTTCACGTACAAAATTCGTAAGTGGCGTATATCTATCATGTACATGAGAGGGCGTGGTGGCTGACACTCCTAATATATAAATAAATAGACGATGTGTATCCCTTTAAACTTAAATTTTTAGGTGTGACAGTCATTTAACATTGTTTAACAAGTGCTACATCTCTTTTAAAATCATTTATACAATACAATGATTAGAAGGAAATACTGCTGCTATATATGTCGTCTACTCTAATTAGCTTCTGAGCTCTAACCATATACAATCTCAGTATCTTAAGTTATGCTGTCTGAATTTGATTTTGAAGTATTGTCTTGTCTGGATTCTGCTGTCTTCTCATATTATATACATAGAGAGATTGAAGGATCATACAATTCACATGCTTAACTTACAATATTCGTATTTCCCCGGAAGTTCTTGAACAAGATATATCATATATATAGTAGTGTTGTAATGCTGCTGCAGGAGCAAGTTTAAGCAAATTAGGATTGGGATGGCCAAAACCAAAGAGAAGGAGCTGTTGCAGACTGTCCCTTTCCTCAAGCTCTTCTCCTTTTCTGATTTTACAGACAAAGTTCTGATGAGTGTCGGGATGATTGGCGCCGTTGGGAATGGATTAGCTCAGCCCTTAATTTCCCTCCTCTTGGGGGAGGCAATCGACGCTTTTGGTAGATCAGCTCAAAGCCACCAAACTGTTTCATATGTTTCTAAGGTATGCACAACCTTAATTTATGACAACACAAACACATCCAAAGTATATCATAATCCATAATGAGAACTCTATATTGTAGGTATCACTTAAAGTTATTTACTTAGCTCTGGGGTGTGGGGCAGCAGCATCTCTCCGTAAGTACCAAAGCAGAAGCACAAGATTCATGGTGTCGATTCTCTTTTAATGTTTGCTATCATTAAGTTCGATTAACGAGCAAAAAGTGTTCCATATGTATATGTGTTAAGAGGTGGCTTGCTGGATGATTACCGGGGAGAGGCAGGCTTCAAGAATTCGATGTCTTTATCTAAAAGCTGTACTGCGGCAAGAGATTGCTTACTTTGACCAGGAAGTGAGTGCCGGAGAAGTCGTTGGAATGATGTCTGCCGATACTGTCCTTATTCATGATGCCATTGGGGAGAAGGTGGTTTTTCTTCTTTAATTATTTCTACGACATGTGTGTCGTGCCATCCAAACTTAATTCTTATTAACTTCATGGTTTGCTCGTAGGTTGGAAAGCTTATCCAAGTTCTTTCATCTTTAGTAGGAGGCTTTGTCGTCGCCTTTGTAAAAGGATGGCTTCTTACACTCGTCATGTTGTCATCAGTTCCTCTGCTTTTCTCGTGGGGAAGGATCATGCATTTTTTCAGGGCAAGAATAGCTTCTCGGTCCCAAAAAGCACATTCTAAAGCAGCCAACGTCGTCCAACAAGTCATTGGCGCTATTCGAACTGTAAGTTAATTAGTATATTGAATATGTTAAGATTCTCGACTTATTTAAGCGATTCATAGGTATTATGAATATTTACGAGTTTTGTATCGGAGCCTAATTTTCTTCGAGTACATCTATAACACGTTATATCCCATATTTGTTGACATAATTGTTTATGTATTTGTCTTTACCGTGCTGTCGCTGCCATTTCGATCTCCACTTACATACTCTAATTCTATTGAGTCATGTTTTCGACTCTAACTCCATTGAGACTGAATGAGGCCTATTTCCAATTCTAATTCTGTTATAAGTGAACGAATCTTGTTTTCGACTCTAGCTTTATTATGAGCGAGTGAATTCTATTTTTAACTCTAACTCTGTTGTGAGATAGCAAGTCTTGTTCCGACTCTATCTCTATTGTGAGCTAGCAAATTCTGTTTCTGCTCTAACTCAGTTGAGAACATTGCTTCTGACTCGGTGAATGATTCTAGCAATAGTACTTATGCTCTATCTTGGCAAACCAAGTTGTTCGATTTTACCTTTGAGTTAGAATAGGAGTGTTAAAGATATAATTAGAATATATATTATATATTATTAGATTTATAAAATTCTTGACTTAATTAGAATATATATTATATACTATTAGATTTATAAAATTCTTGACTTAATTAGCTGATTTGTACGTCATTATAAATATGAATGAGTTCTTACGACGCATCACAAATATTATATATAGCTTCTATCCTCATCAAGGTCTTGACTTCATTTAGGTAGCTTCATTTACTTTGGAGAAGCAAGCGGTGGCTAAATACAAGAAGTTCCTCACCACCTCATACAAAGCTGATACAACTATAGCCTTCAATATCGGGCTGGACTATGGATTCAACACCCTTTTCCTGTTTAGCAGTCACGGATGCGGCATCTTGTTCGGTGCAAGAATGATCTTGCACAATGGCTACACAGGAGGAGAGGTTCTAACTATACTCATTGCCGTCGTAGCAGGTTCTAGGTACATACATACATATTTAACACCATTAGTTCACATTTACCTTATCTTCAATTTCAACTTATATATTGCAGCGTTTTGTCGCAAGCGACGCCTTGCTTGGCTGCAATTGCTACTGCCCAAGCAGCGGCATTCAAAATCTTCGAGACAATTAACCGGAGCCCATCCATCGATGCATACAGCTCAGAAGGGATGTCATTAAACGAGATACGTGGCGAAATTGAGCTAAGAAATGTGTCTTTCTTCTATCCATCGAGGCCGGAAGAACAAATATTAGATGACTTCTGTCTGTGCGTTCCTAGTGGTGCAACAGCTGCTTTGGTTGGGCAAACCGGAAGCGGGAAGTCTACCGTGATTTCTTTGATACAAAGATTCTATGATCCACAGTTTGGTGAAGTTTTAATCGATGGGATTAATCTGAAAAAGTTCCAACTCAAGTGGATTCGATCAAAAATAGGCATTGTGAGCCAAGAGCCTATGCTGTTCACTGCTACCATTATAGAAAATATTGCATATGGAAAGGAAGGAGCAACTTCTGAAGAGATCATAGCAGCAGCTGAGCTAGCAAATTTGAATGACTTTGTTAACAAACTACCTGAGGTGTTTGAGTTATCGACCATTTTCCATTTGTCTGAAATTCTTTACTTCGACATAATATACTTTATGTATTTTTTCATGTAGGGATTGCAAACTATGGTTGGGGAGCATGGGATTCAGCTTTCTGGTGGTCAAAAACAGAGAGTAGCCATAGCTAGAGCAATCCTAAAGGACCCAAAAATCTTGCTTTTCGACGAGGCAACAAGTGCACTGGATGCTAACACTGAGAGAAATGTTGTAAAGGCTCTCGAAGAAATGAAGGTAAATCGAACAACAGTTGTTGTGGCTCACCGGTTGAGCACTATCAGAAATGCAGATATGATTGCAGTCTTTCACCATGGACGGATTGTCGAACAAGGTAAGCTCTTAAGTAGAGCTGCAGCAGCCTCTGCTTCATTGTATTTTATGTGTCCAAAAGTTTGAATTACTTGTTTGCATTTACAGGGAAGCACTCGGAATTGCTCGAGAATCCCGAGGGAGTTTATTCAACCCTGGTATCATCCCAAGAAGTTCTGCATGATGTTGTGAAGCAAACCAGCAAATATGATTCTGAAATTTGCATAAGTTCCAATGTAGATCGACCGGATTCAACCGGAACGAAAAGCACGGCTAGTTTTTTAGACTCAAATTCGATCGACACACAAATGGTGAGTCCTTACAGCATCAATTCATCTGAAAAATTGCAAGAGATTAAAGAAGTTTCAATCTTCCGAATTGCTCGACTTAACAAGCCCGAGCAGCTTATACTAGTAGCAGCAACCGGATTCGCTGTCGTTTCTGGTACAATCTTGCCATTTTTCGCCTTGGTGATGTCCAGTGTCATCGGTGCATTTTATGAATCACCACATAAACTGAGAAAAGATTCGAAATTCGGGGCTCTGATGCTGTTCATCATAGGAGTGATAGCTCTCATTTCTACTTTGCTGAGGTCATTTTTATTCGGAGTGGCTGGGAATAGGCTGATACGACGTATTAGGCTCAAATGCTTCGAGAAGGTCGTTAATATGGAAATAGGTTGGTTCGATAAGCCGGAGAACTCTAGTGGAGCAATCGGTTCGCGCCTATCTACAGATGCAGCCATGATCCGAGCTTTAGTTGGCGATAACCTCTCGCAGCTTGTTCAGCAAGCGGCGTCGATTGCCGTTGGATTGGCGATAGCTTTCCATGCTAGTTGGGAGTTGTCGTTAGTCGCCTTTGCAATAATACCTATTATAGGATTCAATGCACACATACAAATGAAGGCCATGAAAGGATTTAGCAGAAATGCAAAGGTATGTTTTCTGAAACTTTTTAAGTTCATATCTCATGTAAGATGGAAACAAAAATAAGAACATTGAAATGATTTTAGGTTAGGTACGAAGAAGTGAGTCAAGTTGCTAACAACGCCGTTAGTAACATAAGAACAGTGGCATCCTTCTGTGCCCAAGATAGGATTCTTAATGTGTTTACAGAGAAATGTCGAAGGCCAATTGCAGATGGGATTAAGCAGGGAGTGATCAACGCCGCTGGTTTTGGTTTATCGATGTGCTTTTTGTATATGATCCATGCTGCGATCTTCTATGCAGGAGCTATGTTTGTTCAGGGAAGAAGAACTACTGCCTTGGATGTTTTTCGAGTAAGTTCTTCCGAAGAATAATGTTTAGACAATAATGTGAGAATAGTTAGGTACCTATCGACGATTTTACAGGTTTATTATGCTGTAAATATGGGAGCATTGGCTCTATCTTCCTCGAGCTCATTCACCACAGATTCAAGCAAAGCAAAAGCTGCAGCTGCCTCTGTATTTGCAATTCTTGAGAGCAGATCAAAAATAGATCCTAGCGACGATTCAGGAATGGTTCCGACATGTTTTGATGGAGAAATTGAGCTCAAACATGTCTTTTTCAGTTATCCAACTAGGCCAGACATTCAAGTTTTGCAAGATCTTTCCTTAACAATTTGCGCCGGCGAGGTGATGAATATTCTTCGAATGCAATCGATCCCACAACCATCTTCAATTAATTTTCATGGCCTATATTGAAAATGCAGATTGTAGCTCTAGTTGGGGAGAGTGGGAGTGGGAAATCGACTGTGATTTCATTACTACAAAGATTCTACGACCCAAATTCGGGTGTTATTACAATGGATGGAGTTGAGATACAAAAGCTCCAAGTGAAATGGCTAAGGCAACAAATGGGGCTTGTGAGCCAAGAGCCTATCTTGTTCAACGACACTATCCGAGCCAACATTGCTAGCGGAAAGGGAGAAAATACAACTGAGGCGGAAGTCGTAGCCGCGGCAAAGTCAGCTAATGCACATGAATTCATTAGCACCTTGCAGCAGGTCATGTTTTTTCAAAATCCAATTTCGTCGATACAAAAAACTTAGATTAAAAACTCTTGTGACGGATTAGGATTAATGATCGAATAACAAACAAAAAAACGTGAAGAAGACACAGATTTACGTGGTTCACCGAGAACATATTGGCTACATCCACGGGTAGAAACGGAGAATAGATTTATTGAGGACGGATTCGTATCCTAAGTCTCTTAAAATAAACCAAGATAATATCAACAAAAACAATTATTTTTTACAGGTTTCTTTTTTAATTTGAATAATTATTTGATGTAATCAACTGTTATTTATTGCAGGGATACGACACAATAGTAGGGGAACGTGGGATTCAGCTATCGGGGGGACAAAAGCAAAGAGTGGCCATTGCACGGGCTCTCGTGAAGAACCCGAAGATACTTCTCCTAGACGAGGCCACAAGTTCATTAGACGCCGAGTCTGAGAAAATAGTTCAACAAGCATTGGACAAGGTGATGAAGGATAAGACAACCATTGTAGTCGCACATCGGTTGTCGACAATTAAGAATGCGAATACAATAGTAGTCCTTAGAAATGGGATTGTCGTGGAGAAAGGGTGCCACGAGGCTTTGATGGGGATGGACGGCGTCTATTCATCTTTAGTGAGACTTCCTCACACGACTACTTTATCATAATCGATCATGTATGACAAACAAGACCAATTGAAACGTGGAGAGGATTTGAACCCACAAACCGACCCAACATTACACTACTAGGCCTTCCCATGTGGGATATAATCATTAATTATGTTTCATTTATGGACATTGCAATCTATTGTATTTCTAATGATAAGTAGTGGAATCAAGTCTCTTACTAATTTTTCAAATTCCATAGACCATTTATCACTTACAAGAAAAATGAATTTCATGTAAAATGGAATATAAAGCACTTGACAAGAGATTAATCTTTCAATTAAAAATAAAAATTAAATTAAACTAAATTAAACGATTCAATAGTTTATATATAAGTGGTTTATTATTTTAAATTAGAATCAATATGACATATTATTAATAAACGATATATTACATTCAATAAATATACCTGACAGTCCAAGGGAAAAATATTAGTATTTCCGTCTCACATATCGTGTATGCTACACTGTAGACACAGTCCAAGGGAAAAATATTAGTATTTCCGTCTCACATATCGTGTATGCTACGCTGTAGACACGCCACTTACAGTGTCTGCTAAGTATAATTAAAAATATATTAGTGAAAAATAAATATCTTATAATATAAATAATTATAAATTAAGATTAAAATAACTAATTAGTTTAATTAAAATTAAAAAAATAAATTAAAAAGTTTAAAATGAGATTAAAGTGTGTAATATTTTAAAAAAAAGTGACATGGTATGTGGGACGGACAGAAACGACAACATAGACATGGTATGTGAGACGGGTGAAAGTACTATTTTCTTTTAAAATACATTATTTTTTAAATAAAAATTTAAATTAATACTCTCTCGGTCCCAAAAGAAATATCCATTATTTTTTGCGCGTAGCTTTAAAAATATTAGTATTATATTAGAATATAATAGGAATAAAGTAGAAATAACTAAAATAACCTTATTAGGTAATAGCAATATATTGTAAGTCGTAAGATAGTACAGTTACTAAAAAATAAAAATAGATATTTTGTTACGGAGGACGGAGGAAGTATTTTTATTTTAAATAAATTTCAAAGAAAAGAAAAAACACAATAAGTTCAAAAAAATTTCTTTCTCGAAACTTCACACCTCTCGATGCCACGCGCAGAGTCAGACATTCCAAAAATCTCTCGCCCTTTTGTCTGCATCTCCACTCCTCGTAAAACTTCTAAAATGGAGGGGCTTTTCTCGTCGACACCTAAACCATGAGCTTCTTGGTCGTTTTATGAGCAACGTCTGGCATCTTCAACATCTCCATTTCAGCAGGTACATTTTCAACTTTCAAGGAAATACCCTTCATATGTATATTTTAGAAACCTATGATTTACGGCGTGCTGCTCGGCCGATATGTAATGTACGAGGTTATAAGAATCGTATTGTCTTATGTTCTTCATTGTTTTCCTACCGTTGTTAATTTTCATATGCAGAATCACTGTATTTGCTGTGAGTCGGAAAATCTTGACTAGCTGAGGAACTTAAACAATGTGTTCGAAAAAATCTGAAAACCTGAAGCCCAAAAATGTCGAAAACACACAAACCCCAGAAAATAATGTGAAGGAGGAGTTGGGAAACGTGGAAAGGCAAACAATGTCGATATCAAAAGATCTGAATTCAGTCAAGAAAATGAAAGGCGTGGAAGGGTTCGACAGTTCAACCTTAAACGCAAAGCTGCTCATCTTAGAAACAAAGTTTGAGGAATCAAAAGAAAAGATCGAAAGGTTGAGAGAAGATTACATTTTATCGACTGAAAGAGAAAACAGAGCTGCCATTCGATACTCTAATCTTCGAGAGGATCATTGCAAGATGATCAGTGAGAAAAACAAGACTATCTCCGAGCTGAAGGACAAAATCGAAGAAATGGAGAATCTAATACAGGAAAAGGATGACACCATTGAAGCCTGCAAACAGAAGATCAGCTGCAGCGAGGCGGTGCTGGTGCAAATGAACGACGAGATTCAGAATTTGGAGAGACAGAAAGTGAGTGTGGAGCAGAATGTCGATGAACTGAGGAAAGAACAGTTGGAGTTTCAGCAGAGAATGAAGGAGTCGAGGCGCAGAAATTTGGAGGCTTGTCGAACTATAGAGCGTCTCAAGCGCAGGAAGTCGGAGGCTGATAAGATTGGTAAAGGTAGATTAAATTCTGTCGAGCATTTGGCGTCAAGAATTGCGAGAGTGGAGGAGGAGTTTGCCGCTGTTTTGGGCATTGAGGTAGATGATATAAAGAACTTTTTGGATGAGCATGTTGGTGTCGGGGAGAATGAGATTCGAGCCTTTAAATGCAAAGATTTACCTCAGACTGCGAGAGGTAATTATTATATATACTGTTTGTTCGATTTCATAATTTCATATATTGTGTTTTAATAATATACTATGCTATACGAAATTATATCGCTTGCTGGTAAAATATATGTTGAAAATTCACGGCCCAAAAAAGTCAGCAGATATCTGATTGGAAGTAAGCGAGCAAGGAACTCGGGTAATTTTTTATACAATCTATTATGTTCATATGATTGTTTGGGTGTGTATTTGTGATTTGCTTTCTTCTTTTTGGAATAAAGTCTAGAATAAAATGCTCAATTCTGTTTATGTAGAAATCATCGACATAGATAGCGAGACAAGTGACGACTACGACGACAGTAAAGATGAGGATTACAACCCTTCACCTGAACAAGATACAGGAGAAGGGACTCAAAAGTCCAAAGGTAAGATCATTTTGCTTGCCTAATTAATATTTGTCTGAAAATGTCTAAGAATATTGTCCAAATTCTTGCATGGATTCTGTTCTTGACAGCATAAATCCAATCACCCGACGCAAGAACGCTTCGAAGAATATGAAATATTTTGTACAGAGAGAAGCTGTGTTCATGCTACTATGTACATGTATTGCCAAAATCTATTGGACATAGTATCTTACCCATTTTTGAAGCGATGGGGTATCTAATTATCATCGCCTGTTTTTGTAGATCTCAAATAAATCTAAATATTATTTAAACAAAAACTCAAATCAACATTTCATTTCAAGTCAATTTCAAATTACAATAAACAAACGTGATCATTTCACCATTTCTTTCTATATACAAACATGTGTATGTATACGTATACATATGCATGTTTGTCACTTGGGCGACAAATATGCATCCATATAGACTAAAGACTGTTGCTAGGCTTTATCGATCACAAGGAAAACAATGCAAGTGCATAACAACCTAAAATGATGTACGCGCATGCATGACTTTTGACCACTGAAATAAATTTTAACGTGCTGTAATGATATATTTGTTGTAAATATGATTATTGAATCTAGTTTAGTGAACTAAATGGACCAACCTGTAAGTAACATCAAATATGAAGATCTTCAATATCAGTTATGAGATTGGCAGTCTTAGATGACCTCTTCACTACCAGCTGACCACACGCGCCACTTATGTCTTGGCCCATTTGCTTTCGAACTGTTGTTCGAATGTTGTAGGTTCCTCTAAGTGTTTTCTGGAATTCCACAACTCTCTGATCCTTGCTACTTCTGTAAGGACTTAGAGAACCGATTGGATTAAAAGGAATCAAGTTCACAACCTGTCAGGATAGAAAAGACTATTAAAGTAAATTTGTAAACATGTCGATTACAGAGAATCGAGAGTTATTTTCAAGCTGACCACATCAAATGTCTCCAGCAATTTCCCAAGCTGGTGAGCGTGTTGTTCCTCATCATTCACACCATCAAGCATTATGTACTCAATAAATATTTTCTGCTGACTACAGAAAAATAAAATAAAATAAAATAAAAATGTGAGGTTTTCTATTATTCGTATGCAATCAAAATCTGCATAAATAATCTGAATGCATATAAAAGAAAAATCATAAAAAACAAAAACAGCGTAAAAAAATAAAACCTGATAGTTTGATATTTTTGCAATGCATTCATTAGTTTTTCCAAAGGAAATGCCCTTGCTGCAGGCATTATCTGGCACCGGATGTCTTGTACCGGTGCATGAAGTGATACTGCTAGATTCAAGTTTGGCATGTCTCCGTGTAGCTTGTTAATAGCATGAATTATGCCAACCTGCATATGATCAAACAAATATTTAACAACATTCAGATGGCTTACAAGCAGCAAAGCAATCTGTTACTCTACATGTAAATAGGAGCTGAGGTTTAAGAACTGCTGGAAGGGTTAATACAAGAATAGACAGTTCGAAAAGCAAGATAACTGCAATATATCTAAAACTAGAAGGATCTCCCAATATGTCACTCACTGTTGAGACAGTTATTTTCTTGGGTGATAGCTGAAACGGGGGAGCTGTCATGACTCTGATAGCTTCAACAACTGCGGCATAGTTATTTAGTGGCTCTCCCATTCCCTACTCATGGTAAAAGAAAATGTGTAACCATCAATTAGAGCAACAAGAAACAATACTAATAAATTGAACATCAACACAGAAACAAATGCACTCTAGAATTATCAATTACTCAAAACAGCAGCTTGTGCAATATCAATCATACCAGAGATGCTTGCCATGTTCATTGCTAAACAATTACTAGGAGAGAGAACAAAAAAAGTGCTTAAAATGACTGCCGTCCATGTTATTGCAACACTTCTATACTATTTACATCAAATTTGATATTTTATAATGGCATTGGAGTACTACCATTTTTTTATGCTTAATGACTGCCACATAAATTTAAGTACTTATTTTATGAGTATCTCTATGATCCTTGTTATGGTACACGTAGGACTGTATGCATCACGGCTTAAGGGATCTTCTGTGTCACAGCACGCAATTCACCTCTAACAACTATATCTTTGAAGCATTTTAGATACTAGGTAACACCTAAATTATATCTTAACCAACAGGCACAGAAAATATACCATAAAGACAACATTTCGAATAGCTGAAATTTGAGAAGCATGCACCAATTGTTCCAGAATTTCTCCCGAGGAAAGATTGCTCTTGAATCCCATGCTACCTGTTGCACAAAAGTTGCATCCCATTTTGCACCCAACCTTGGGTCAGAAAAATTGTAGAAAGTTAGAGTGGAGTTATTAAGCATAAAAAATATTAACTAAAAGTTAGTGAAGACTGGCTAGCAACTGGAGTATTATCACCTACCTGTGATGATATGCACAAGGTTGCCCTAGGACCACCAGGACGAGGCTTTCCATCATATTTACCCAATCGAGTATCATATCTCATCACCACGGCCTCCACGAATTCTCCATTCTAGCCAGAAAATAAAAATAACTAATAGCCTAAGTATTGTATCAAGGGAAAAGAAAACAAAATTGTATTTCTATCTAAACAGTGTATTTTGAACACTTTGTAACTTAAGTATTTATAGCTGACAGATTGCTATCCAGATCACACAATTGTTAGCTACAAGTTGGCATTCATGATCCAATTCAGCAGCCCTCTAAAGCCTAATATGTTGCTCATGGCAGACTTCTCGATATTCCAGTGTGCAGAGTAGTGCTTATAGCCAATGCGGGGAAATTAACAAGGAAATTAAGCAATAATAAATACATCGTGCATTTATATCACTTCCAAACAGCAAGTATGAACTTTTAGGGCTCTCAGAGTCCAATCAAATTTAACAATAAAAACAAAATCTAACACAGACTACCATACACACATTCAGAACGCCAAACCGTATAAGCGGAAGTGGTTTCTAAAGATCAACGTCAACAATCAATCTCAGATACCTTTAATTTGATGAGGAGCTTCGTGGTGACCTGGTCGGAAGAATCCACAGCGGAATGTAGAGTTGAGGTGCAGGGCATGAATTTGGAATTGAGGAGAGCATAAGCAGCGGACGGAAGAGAAGGAATTTCATCCCACCGACAATTAGGATTCTTCAAGACGTGCTTCCAGACAAGAGGGACGAAATTAGGGCTTATTCCGGCGCTCTCGAAATCGGATTTTACGGCGGAAGCATCGAACACCGACCTGCACGCCATCGGCGGCGTAGGGTAAATGAATTCCAAAGTGAGTTTCAAAATTTCAATCCCACCTTCTCTCCGGGTTGGATTACCGTTTTACCCTTAAAACGTGAATTCGGTGAAGATGCATGCTTGATATTGATTTTCTATGAATTTGTATTCTAATTTGAAATTTCAATAGTATTTTAATATAATATTTTATTATATAAAATAATAAAAATTTATTATTAGTTTCAATCAAATATATTTTTTTTATCTTATTCAAAATAATTTATTACTATCTCTTTCTTGCATACCGTGTCTCGTACTGTAAATAGTTATTTTAGGAGGAATGTAATTAGTAGATAATTAAGAATGTAGTAGTAAAATAATTATTTTATAATATAAATAATTATAAATTAAGATTAATATAATTAATTAGTTAAATTAAAATTAAAAAAAAATAAATTAAAAAATTTAAAATGAGATTAAAGTGTGTAATCATTTTCAAAAAAAATAAAGTGACATGGAATGTGGGACGTAGAAAAACTGCAACATGGATATGATATGTGGGACGAAAGAAGTATTATTTTTGTACCATCGGTGTTGACACAGCTACACTAAGAAATTAAAGTGACAGTTGAATCAAAACGAATACGACCGTATTACATAGAACACGGTCGTGTTTAAATTTACAAATAGTCCTTTCTTCTTCTCCCTTAATTAATTTCCTTATTGTATGCTTGATTTGATTTTCATTCGATCGGAAATCCGCCATGGTTCTAGAGGATTTGAACTTGGTGGTGTCACTCAAGATGCGGTAGGAAAGACTCAATAACGCGGAAGACTTGTGGTAAAAATCAAAGCGACTGCACCAAAATATGGATTAGTTGCCGGAGGACGAGTACCTCGCAGTTTGTCTTGCTTGCTCAGGTGGTAATTTTTCCTTCGTCACCACCATAATGAATAATGAAGGAATTCTTTCCGACTCCGCCGCCACCACCACTCAACAATAATCCTCACCGGTGCATCGTCTACAATAAAGTGTTTTCCACTTACCAAGCTCACAGTGGCTACAAAGCTAGTCACTGCATATTGAACTACGTTTTAGCTCTGAATCCTAGTGGAATTTTAGTGAACAAGTCTGTGCTGAATTCAGGTGTATTTTGAAGCTTAATACGTCTGTGTTGCATTCGGCCGTGATGGAATATGAGTTGTAAGTTTAGACATGGCCTTGTTCGATCCAACTCAACCACCACCTCAACTTTCATTACAACTATATGTTTATATCAATACAGTCCATTGAAAATTTAACTATTATGGGGGTGTTTGGTGCAGAGAAATAGGAAAAAAAAAAATGTCTCAATTTCTTTTGTTTAGTTGAAATAAGAAAAAATTATTTTTTATTGTTTAGTTTTATTTTTTTATCCGTATATTCAGATAAATGAAAAAAAAATTGAGAGAGTACAGTATGTGTGTTTTTTTTATATATATTTAACTTTTAGGATTAATGTGTTTATTTTTTTATTTTTTTTTACTATTATTTGTCTTTTTGATTTTATATTATTTAAATCTCCTAAAATATCATATTTAAATTATTATCAAACTAAAAAAACAATAATATTTTTCTTATCTAATTTATTAGTTTTTAATAATCTATTTATTAATATAACATATAATTTTTTTTTACATTTCTCAAATTATCTTTGTTACTAATCAAAAGAAGTAATTTTTACATGTTTGAAAAATCATACTACAAAACAAATGAACGTGAAGAATTTTACAATTGCAGGCACAAATTTAAGAACAACAAATCAACCAATAATTACTTCCAAACCAACATAAATATATATGTGTGTATATATATATAATCAAATTATAAGAATCTAATCTCTAATAAACGCGTCTCCTGGCTGAACTAGCTTTTATAATGAACACCAGCAGTACCCCTGCGTCTGAGTCCATTCTCCCCGCCGTTCGCCGGAGTAGCCGCGCCGGAGCCTTTCACGGCGGCGACGATGTTTCCGATTTCCCGGCGAGAAGCCAGAGGCTGGAAGTCGGAGCGGGTCCGGCGGTGGGAGGAGCCGTCCGCAGAATCTCCGGCGAGGAGGAGGTGGTAGCTCCGGCCTCTGGTGGAATTTTCCGACTGGCTCCGGTAAATAATGTTCCTCTTCTTCGCCGCGTACTGCATAAGAAATGGAATCAATCCTTCCATATACGTATATTCGTATTTCTCTAAGATTTGTCGATTGTGTTGTGTTTCAATTCTTCCTCTCGTGGTCTGATACATATGATTTGATGTCTTTATATACTGGTATTTAGGGCAGCTGGTTGAAGAATGGCTCGATGTGTAATGTCGTTTATGCCCTTGAGAGGTGGATATAGATTATAGACTCGACCTTTTGTGGAGAAGCTAGGGGTATAGAGGTAAAATCGAATTACTTCTTGCAAAAATGTCAAAGTTTGGACTTTGTAAATGTCAAATTAGCCGGAAAGATCGCGGGGATTGGCAGATTTTGACTACCCTAATTAATCTTCGTTATGTATGATTATCCCCAGCTAGCTAGCTATCGATCACAACTTTTCATTGTTGAAAAACATGTGAGAGAGAGAGTACGTAACTAATTTGGTCAATTTTATTTATTTTTATTTTTTTATCTGAGTTTGGTCAACGTTTTGCATATACGAGATGAAGAATTCTTTCGATTTTTGGATAACGTTTTGGAAAGTCAAATATGTGAAAAATGGTCAACACAGGCACCCACACGTCAACGACTACCGTTATCGATAAAAAAATTCAAAATTCAGAAATCACATGCTGGCATAAATACTAAAAAATTTCATGAGTACAAATGATACTTCCCCTCACTTTTTACCCTAGAAATATACTCCATCATTCATAGAATCTAATACCACCGGTTATACAAAATTTTTGAGTTTTGAAAAAGATTGATAATAAAAATAACAATAATAATAATATAATATTTTGTTATAAAAAATAAGTATTTAATGAATATTTTTTTAAAAAAAGTTATTAGTACAAAAGAAACTCCAAAAGTATCCATTAGTCGTTGACGGCTTGATGACTCATCAAACACCTTCAGTACAACCTAGCAATTTTTTGGACACTTGAAAGTTGTTAGTACAGTTGTTGCTCGAACACCAAGAATGCTAAAAAATCGTAGAGAGATAAAGTAACGAGTAACATAATTTGTTATTACTCTCACCTTGATGATTTACAAATGAGCTAGTACCACTTATTTATACAAATCTATGGTGAGATGGACGGTGTAGATCAAGTAAATCCAACGGTTAAAATTAGTCACTGAAATGTTCTATCATCTACCAACTATCAACTACCACATTAATGTACAAATTCCAATTTTTTCTATAATGTTCGGACTATTCTAAATGAGCCTTTGGGTTTTGGCTTATTTGTTCAGTCATCTTCGGTCACAACATCAGTTTGGGATATTCTACCCCACTTGATGAAGGCATTTCCTTCAATGCCTTGAACTCATACACCAAGTCTTTGAATTGCCAAAGTTTTTTCATCGGCTCCCAACTTGTCTCAGATTTAAGCAAACCTCGTCATTTCACCAAGTACTCCGTCGAAGACGGACTGTTCTTATGGCATACTAGTCGATCCGCCAATATCTCATCGACCACTTTGTTATATGCCATTCGCATCTCGGGTGGTGCTCTCGTCAACACATTCCAACTTGGATCTCGGTCATCCATGTGGTAAGGCTTGAGTAAGCTCACATGGAATACCGGGTGAAATTAGAATAAGCCCTCGGATAACTTCACCTTGTACGCCATCTTGTCTACCTTCTTCATGATCGGGAACAAACCTTCGTATCGCCTCATCAATCCTTTTTAATTCTTTTTAATGGTACGATAAACTTAGCATCGAGAAACTTTCCCAATTGTTTCCTTAACTCGGCCAACTCGTCATGTGATATTTGGTAGGGTGATCGGGACACCGACTTTGCACCTTCCACCAATTCGATTGCATGGCCAACCGCGCATCGATGTGGTAATTCCTTCGGCAACTCATCCGGCACATGCCCTTGAACTCCTTGAGGACACCCTCCAATTCCTTGGGCGGAGCTACGACTTCTTTGACCTCATCGCTCTGGAAGTTCTTGTCGCTAAAGATTGCCGTAAATGTCAAGTCTCTTTTTCTCAATCATTTTTCATATTGTCTCGGTGTCAACTCTTTCTCCCGATACACAGTTATGTCGTATAGTATGTCTCCCTCCATGATAGTGTACTTTTTCTCGTGTGGCACCATCGCTAACTTGACTTATTCAATAAACTTCATACCAAAGAACACCAAATAATAGTCAACATAGGCAACATTGAAAATAATCTTACCTTTCCAATCTTAAATTCCAATCGGCATATCCATCGCCATTCCCGTCAAAGATGTCCACCTGTTATTTATTCACTTGAATCGGCCACTTGACAGTACCCATTGTAAGCCTAGTTTGCAAGTCATCTCTTTACTCATCTAATTAGCATCCATCCCTGTATCGAGTAGGCACAAGTACGAGTGTCCATTGATCTCGGCGTCAATATACATCCGCCCCTTATGCATTTAACCATCACCCTCCGCATTCATGTATGCTATTCGTTCCTCCGTCGGGATGGTCTCTCCAGTCACCACGGAAAAACTCATTCAGTTCGGACAATTCCTTGTGTAATGTTCTTTTGAGTAGCAAATAAAACATCCCTCATACTTTGATCCCGACTTTGAGAATTCCCTTGTCTTTGCCTTAGGTGGTTGGTGCTCACTTTCGGCACAGAGCGAATCTCAGTTTATCTCCCTACTTTTATCCACAACCATCTTCTTTCCCTCATACTTTTTATACGGTTTCTTTCGTTAAAACTCGATTAGGCATAAGGCATGCTTTACTGTTTTATTTATGATTGTTGGGTCTTTGTCCATAACTCGCTCTTTTGTCCACTACCTCAATCATTCCATGAACGTAAACAATGTCTCCGTTTAGATCATCGACGGAATCTCAAACAATAAGTTGGAGTATTTATCGATGTATTCATTCAAATATTCATCTCAGTGTACCACATGAAGAATCTTAGCCCTCACCTCATTATCAACTTTCACCAGTTCAAACTCCACTTGAGCTCGGATTTGAATATTGTTCACGTCGTGATGACCTTGCCATCTTGGGCAAGTTTGCTCTTTCGTCTCCACCAAATGAGTGCATAGTCATTTAAAAATAATAATGTAGTTTGCACCTTGGCATCCTCCCTGATGATACATGTGGTAACCAAATAACATTTCAAATCAAAGATAAATATAACAATTACTCGGCATTTTCGGACTTCCGAGTAGCACTCTGGACGTAGTACCTTCACCCTTGGCACTATTGCCATCCCTTTGGTCGGGCCACGAGCTTGTAATTATGTAATTGTCTTTTGTCAACTAAAGGCGACACCCCCCACTACGGCTCCACTACGGCCACTTTTTCCCGTCAGGTCAACTAAAGGCGACACCCCCCACCTCCTCCTTGAGTTTGGAGACCTCAACACGAAGTGACGCCCTCCTCCACCCAGTTACGACATTGGTCCACCTCAACTGCAACTGACGTCATCAACTCTTATCGCAAATCTTTCTTGACCTTGTTGAAATGTTGCTCCACCACGTCAATCATTTCAGAGTTTCCGTCCAAAGATTGTTCCATCACCATCCAATGCACCTAGGGCATCAACGGAGGTGCCATGCTTGCTCTTCCGATTATTCCTTCCTTCATGGCCACCGTCGTTGTTTCCCTCGTTCACATTCATCAAGTTAGAGCCGTCACTTGCCATCCGTTATTTACTTAGGCTCGAACGAAACTCTTATACCATTTGTTACAGACCGCTTGGTGATTCCTCGAATACCTTCCGTTTGGTCTAATAACTTCTTGGATACTTGGAGGTTGCTAGTACAGTCGTTCGTCGAACACCTTCAAAAACACTTAAAAACTCAATAAAGAATGCTTAAAAATCGTAAAAAGATGAAGTAATGAGAAAAAATAATTTATTATTACTCTCAACTTGATGATTACAAATTAACTAGCACCACTTATTTATATAAATCCATAGTGAGATGGACGGTCTAGAACGAATCAATCCAACAACTAAGATTACCTACTATAATGTATTATAGTCTATTATCTACAAATTTTCAACTATCACATTAATGTACACATTTTAGTTTTATGTATAATGTATTTAAAAGTATTTTAAATTAACGTCTAAATTTTGGCTCCTTTGTTCGGTCCTTTTCAAAATCGATCCATAATACAGAGAGACCCTGTTTATTGAAAATATAAATAAAATATAATATTTAAAATTAAATAAATTAATATTCTTTTTACTATTTTAAATTTAAAATCTAATACTATTTATTTTCTATAATTTTCAATAAATATTTTATAAAATACTATATCAATATACTATTATTATAATAAAAATTTAATAACACTATATTTTAAATTAATCTAAACCTAACACAAGTAAACCTTTTATTCTAAAATAAATAGTTCTGTTTTATTCTCAAATAAATTTTTTAAAAAACGATCACATTCATGACACCCGTTACAAAACATAACAAATAAATTTTAATTTGACGAAGATTTTGCAAATCATTTGGTATTCTAAATTCACCGTAAACGCGCCCCATTAATCCCCGCAATAAATAGAAATTATCGTTTATATAGTTACACGGTGCTGGGGTCCCGGGATCTTCTATGAAAACACATTCCAGCTCTCCCCCTACTTTCTTGCATTTCAATGGCTGCCGCCGATCATCGCCTCTCCTAAAAACTCTCCTTTAATTTAGAAATTCATCCCTCTCACTTGCAATTTCATCAATCTGGTTCCTGATCCTAAATTTTCAAAAAAACTCATCTGAGAATGTTCTGGAATACAATATAAATATATAAAATATAATGGCCTCGTTGAAAGGCGGTGTTCTGCAGAAGCTTTACGAGGAGATGAAAATGGCGGAAGAAGGAAATAACAATAATAATAATAATACGGCGGCGGACGACGATCCCCGGCCGGTGCTGCTGCAAATCCGCAGCATAATTCCGGTGCTGGAGGAAGGCCATCTGTGGCCAAACCGAGGCTTCTTCCTCAAGGTCTCCGATTCGTCTCACGCGCTCTACGTCTCCCTCTCAGACGAGCAGAACGAAATGATCCTCGGGAACAAATTGAAATTAGGTCAATTCATATACGTACAGCACCTGCAGAAATCCGATCCCGTCCCGGTTCTGCGCGGCGTCACTCCCACCCCCGGCCGCCGGCCCTGTAAGGGCACGCCGGTCGACATCGAACCGCCGCCGGATCTGGTCAAGCTTCTAGAAGCCTCCTCCGCCGGCTCCGGCGATGGTTCGGTTGTAGAAGAGAAGGGGGTTATAGCGGAGAAGAAGGTATTGCGGGCCCCACGGAGGCTGCTGCTACGTGGCAGCTCGGATTCCGAGGCGTCTGTGAAGCACGCGCCGTCGTCGTCGTCGGTGAAGACTCCTCGCCGGCGGGACAGATCTGCGGCGAAATTAGCTGGCGACGGTAGGAAGGATAGATTGGAAGATAATAATTCCGTTGAGAACAACGAGAGCGACGACGGTGGCACGAGAGTTGCACGTGTCACGAAGAGACGGAGCTGGAATCATTCCGACATGATGAAGGTCAAGGAAGCTTTTGATTCCTCCTCCAAGCTCCCGCCGAGGAGCCGTAGCGCCAATGTAATAACGGCTAATTAAAATCTTAATTAATTAATTAATATCCATTTACTAACGTGTTTAATTGCAGGTTTCGCCTGTTCGTTCTTTGGTATCAGACAGCTCCGACGAGAATTCAAGTTCAACATCAACAACAAGAGCTGTTGCTTCGAAGAAGAAGACCACTGCTCAATTGCCTGCATCAACAGCAAAAGAAGAAGAAGAAGAAGAAGTAGAAGAAGGCCATCATCAAGAAGAAGAAGAAGAAGGTAAAGAGTCGTCGATCCAAGAAACTGAAATGATATCCATGGAATCCCTCCTCCACCTCCCGCCGGAGTCTGCCAAATTCGGAAAGGTATTACTTAATTAATTCCCTTAAAAATATATATATCTATTTTTCCATTTTACAAATATCTTACACAAATTTTATAATATTTATATCATACAATACTTTTAATTTAATTTTTTTATTTTTATTTTTATTTTTATTTTTACTGCATTATGAGACAAACATGTTGGTTACTTTATACAATATAAAATATAAAGGAGGTTGCATCTCAACCTGAGATCTCCACCCTATTATTAATTAACCTGATAATTAAATTAATAAATTATCGGATTTATGCACATAACAAATAAGTATATATTTACTTTCGAAATAGTTAGTAGTGTAATGATATTTTTGCCAAAAAAATCAAGGTTGTTTGCTTCATACAGGAGGTCATAAGACAACGAGACGCTGCAATGGCCGCCGCCGTCGACGCTCTGCAAGAGGCCTGCGTTTCCGAGAGATTGCTCAACTGCTTAAGGTAGATACATTACATTTACATACACACATTATTATTTAGTATTTAGGATGTGTTTCTTTTGATTGATTTGAAAAAAAAAATAAAATTTAAGTTTAGTATGAAAATAATATTGAATAAGATATTTTGTAAAATAGTTTTTTTTTTTTTGTCTTTTTTCAAAAAATACAAATAAAATTTGAAGAAAGTTGTCTGAAGAAACATACCCTTAATTATTTAATTAATTATCATTTTATCCAGGACACTGTCAAAGTTAAATCTACAGCAAGACGACGATCTAGAGCCATACCTCCAAAAATTCTTCAACCTACAAGACGATCTTGCTCGAACTACATCAATACTCCACTCACTACCAAATGCAACGCCGCCGTCCACCGCCGCCGGAGAATCCGATCCGTGCGCCGACGACACAGCCAAGGCCCGAACAAAGAACGCAAACGAATGGATCAAATCCGCCATAGCTTCCGATCTTACGCCAAGCCAATCCGGCCGCTGTAATAAAGAGAAAAGCATCTGTAACCTTAAAAACGACGCCGACAAGGAATGCTGGCCGGTCTGGCCGGAGTGGCCGGACCGGGTCAACTCGCCGGAGTGGAGCCAGGGCAGCAGTTTTCCGGCGGCGTTCGAGCTGGCGGCGTCGCTGCAGCTGGAAAGCAAGAAAATGTTTTTCTGCCACGTGGATGACTACCTGGACGGGGTGGAGCGGAGCATTGCGGCGGCGGAATCGGACGGGCAGGTGGCGGCGACGATGTTGAAGGTGAAGATGGTGAGTGACAGCGTGGAGAAGACAGTGGATAAGGAGAAGAAGAATGACGTGTTGTGGAAGAAGGAACGTGAATTCGGGGGTGGGGGTGGGTGGGTAGGGGAGGGGGAAGCTTATACAAAGGTGAGGAACAAAATCTATGAGATCTTACTCAACAATGTGGCGAAGACTGCCATGGCTTTTCAACGTCTGCACGCGCAGGCCTCGTCGTCGTCGTCTTCCTCGGATCCTCCATGTAATAATCATAATTAAATTATTTTTTTTTTTCTTATAATTAATTATATACCGGATTTTTCAAGTTCATCTGATACACATATTAAGTTTTCGAGTCATATTATTTACATAAAAAACTATCAATATTAATTAATTAAATAAATATTATTATCTTAAATATTATATTACATTAAAACGCTCATGGATCACGTTGAAGATAATCGTCAATTTTCTTTGGTCCAGTGTTGATATTGGCTTTTCTCAATAATGTCATCGAATGTTGACGTTCAATCCAAACAAATAAATCTACGGTTTTAAATCGTGTCCGTAAGGGTGAAGGACGAGAAGGACCGTTTGTTTGTTTGTTCGTTTTTTCGTGCCAACATTAAAATGATCAAAAATCCATGGCAATATTCCACCCTCACTTTAACTCCTCTTCCATCCTTCCGCCACCCCTACCTCGTCCCCACCTACCAACAGGAATAACTCTCACTACCTCAACACCCTATCTCTGTTCTTCTAGACTTCAATCGATCTTACAAGGGCAGAGAAAGGGAAAGAGTTGCCAAATTATACACTAATTTATATTAAACCAAAAAGAAATTGGGGGTTTTCTTGCTTCTTCTGGAAGTTGGGAGCTGAAGAATGTCTGTTAAGGGTTCAATCTTGAAGGGGTTTTTGGTGCTAATTTTGGTGGAAACAGTGGTGGGTCGTTTTGTGGTGGAGAAGAACAGCTTGAGGGTGGTTTCTCCGGACAGCATAAAGGGGACCCACGACAGTGCCATTGGCAACTTCGGGATTCCGCAGTATGGGGGAAGCATGCTCGGAACTGTGGTTTATCCGAAGGACAATCGGAAGGGCTGCAAGAGCTTTGATGATTTCGGGATTTCTTTCAAGGCTAAGCCTGGGGCTATGCCCAGCTTTGTTCTTGTTGATCGTGGAGGTATTTTTAATTTTTCATTCATTACAGTGAAGACTTCATTTTTGTTTGAATTTCTACACCTTAGCTTGCTAATTGAGCTTGAATTTGATGTTTTGTTTCGAGACTGTTTTTTTAATTAGTTTTCTTGACTGGGGTTTTGGGGTCTGAGGTTGTCCATTGTTGTGGTTCTTCATGATTTTTTAGCTTTTGCAGATCCTCTGTGGGTTATTTTGTATAATACTTTTGTTCTAATGTGGTAAATTTGCAATTCGATCGCTGTGGATAGGTGATTCTCAAGGTCTCACTAGCTCACTTCAAACCCATACAAATATACCAAGCAATTCATAGATTTTTGTGGATTGAGGGTGTGTTTATTTGGTGTATTTTGGATTTGAAATTTTTGAATAAGTAGGGGTTGGATGCTATGTTGTAAATGAAAATTAGGTGTTCTGACTTCTGAGTAAAAAGGATTACGTTTTCTATGGCTGAAAACACAAAATAGAACCTATTTTTGGTAATATTTATACTGTTGGGGTTTCTAGTGATTTGTATCTATACTGAGAACTTGTTAGGTTATAATTTGAAATCGAAGCACTATATTGTGTGTTTGTTTGTGGGTTTTGGGTTTGGATTTATGAATGGTAACAAATTGAATTTGAATAGTTGTTTGATGTGATATAAATAGATGTTGAATAGTAAAAAGTTAAAGCGCACAAAAGAACACAACCATGTTGCTTAAGACTTACATTTCTCTTGCAGATTGTTTTTTTGCATTGAAGGTTTGGAATGCTCAAAATGCTGGGGCAGCTGCGGTTCTAGTAGCTGACAATCTCGAAGAAGCTCTGATAACGATGGATTCGCCAGAGGAGGAGATCCAATCCATGAAATACATTGCAAACATTACAATCCCTTCGGCGCTGATCACCAAAAGTTTTGGCGAGGACTTGAAGAAAGCTTACAGCCGGGGGGACATGGTGAATGTGAATCTTGACTGGAGAGAATCAGTCCCCCACCCTGATAACAGAGTTGAGTACGAGCTATGGACCAGCAGCAACGATGAGTGTGGTGTCAAGTGCGACATGCTGATGGATTTCTTGAAGGAATTTAAGGGCGCGGCCCAAGTGCTTGAGAAAGGTGGATACACTCAGTTTACGCCGCATTACATAACTTGGTATTGTCCTCAGGCGTTTACGATAAGCAAGCAGTGCAAATCTCAATGCCTCAACCATGGGAGGTATTGTGCCCCGGATCCCGAGCAAGATTTCAGCTCCGGTTATGAAGGAAAAGATGTGGTGCTTGAGAACTTGAGGCAGCTGTGTGTTTTCCGAGTGGCGAATGAGTCCAGAAAGCCTTGGGTTTGGTGGGACTACGTTACTGATTTCCAAATTAGGTGCCCGATGAAGGAGAAGAAATACAACAAGGAATGTGCGGAGAGTGTTATCAAATCTTTGGGTAAAACAGTTTCACATATTTATTGTAAACTTTCATGTTTATTAAGAATCAATGTCATTGAAGGTTTGTTCGAAAATCAGGTGTCGATTTGGGTAAAGTTGAAAGATGCATGGGCGATCCTGATGCCAATTCTGACAATCCTGTCTTGAAAGAAGAGCAAGATGCTCAAGTGAGTTTTGTAATCTACATTTTGAGAGCAAAGTCACTATTCTTGTTCTATTTATGATATTTTGTGCTAATTAACATGATGATTATCTTGCCCTAGATTGGAAAAGGATCGCGCGGTGATGTGACTATTTTGCCTACTCTTGTTGTGAACAATCGCCAATATCGAGGTATGTTTGTTATCTCATACAAGTTCTACCATTATTAACCTCTCTTACGCTATTTTTTTTTTCTTTCTAGGGAAATTGGAGAAAGGTGCTGTTCTGAAAGCAATATGTTCTGGCTTTGAGGAGACAACAGAGCCGTCAGTTTGCTTGAGTGGGAGTATGTTTGTTTTCTCTTAGTTAAAAATTCTAATGTCTATAAGAGGTGAGCTTGGGCTGATTCATGGTTACTTTGTAATTGCAGATGTGGAGACGAATGAGTGCCTGGACAACAACGGTGGTTGCTGGCAGGACAAGGCGACAAACATCACGGCTTGCAAGGTACTTTAATGTATCTAAATGTTTTCTCATTCCTTCTGTATTGTTCTTACATTCTTGCTTATTTATTATACATTCAGGACACTTTCCGAGGAAGGGTCTGCGAATGCCCAGTAGTTAATGGCGTGCAGTTTAAGGGCGATGGCTACAGCTCTTGTGTTGGTATGTTTTTATGTCGATTCATACTAATCAGCGTAGTCTTGTTTTCGAAACATTGCATAATGTACAGTATCAGAGTTTCATGTTTATCAAATTTTATTACAACCACTTGGCAGCTGCTAAAACACACTGATAGTTCTTATTAATTATTATGACTATTGAATTGTTTTGAAATCCTTCAACGCAGCAAGCGGGCCAGGACGATGCAAAATTAGTAATGGAAACTGTTGGCATGAAAATCGAAATGGGATCACTTTCTCAGCTTGTGTGGTTGGTGATCATTTATATGCATGTAATATATTTTGAAGCTGAAGATTTGATTAGATTTAACATGTCTGAATTTTCGGTCCTACCAGGAGGATGGTGACAAGCAATGTACGTGCCCTCCGGGATTCCAAGGCGATGGCATTATTAGTTGTGAAGGTAAAAACACTTTTTGTTTGGTTTTTCATGCACTGAGAGGGATAGTATGCATTTCACGTCAGATTTTATTTCATTGTCCATTGCTATTGAGCCCGTTTCTTTGCCATTAAATGCCTCACCATAGATTTTCTTCATTGGGTTTCTCGTTGAAGCTTCCGACTTGCTAGTAAAGCATTTACTTAAGTCAGTGTTTGCTAATTCTAATATATATATGTATATATATATATCTTTATACTAATTGAGACATCTTGGTTAGTAGTTAGAAAATGCAAGCACAGTTCTTAGTCGTTTGTAAATTGCTAGTAGTTTTCAACTAGAACCATGTCTAACACCAAAAGAACACATCATGGGCTCCGTTTGTTTTTCTTTTTCTTCCAGCTTCGTTGTTATGCAACCAACATGATTCCCTAGAAAAATACACTATCCAACCACCATTTAAACGCAACAAAACACAAACCAAACATACTCATAGTTTTTGCCAGTAGTTCTTAGATAACATGAGATAAGTTCCTGGATGAGCTGTATATCTTGTATCAACATCTACTTTGTAATCTTCTATAATGGAAAGATGTAAAATGGGGTTATTTATTTACTAATTGGTATGAGGCCAAATTACCCTTTAGGATACAATGGAGAAGAATAAACAGGATTGCATCAAGTTTTAACTTATTTCTTGCAAAAGAGGTGCGACAAAACTTGTATTGTGCATATATAGGCTTGGAATGATCACAAGCCGCAACTCTAAGGTCACGTAAGAAAACGGCCTATCCAACACAAATAATTATTATAATATAAATAACAGCGAGCAAAACACAGCAGATAATGACAATCATACAAAGATTAATGACAAATAACTTTTGTATGTGAAAGGCTGTGCCATTTGTCTCCATAAGGGGACAAATGGAATATACTTTGATTTTATGAATGTTTGATGCTACAAAATAATTTCCAAGGAAATCTAATTGTAATACTTTGGCCACACAGACATAAATGAATGCCAGGAGAAGAGAGCCTGTCAGTGCCCTGATTGCAGCTGCAAGGACACATGGGGGAGCTACGAATGCACGTGCAGTGGGGATATGCTATATATAAGGGAACATGACACCTGCATAAGTTAGTTTTCTTTCACCCTTTTTGGTTTCGACCTTAAATTCTTACATGGCATTGGTGTATTTTGTCAATCTGTTTCTTGTGCAGGCAAGAGGGAAAGTGAAGTGAGATCTGCTTGGACTGCTTTTTGGATTGTTTTGATTGCTTTGGGTATGGTTTCGGGTTTTGCATACCTCGTGTACAGATACAGATTGCGGGTAAGTTTCTTTTTACTCATTAATGATCCTAAAACCAGCATGTCTCTTTACAAGTGCAATTGTAAATCTTTTGGGAGTAACACTTTTGTTTTTGCTACTAAAATCAAATAAAACCTATTAAATAACTGAGCATTTTATATTTTGAAATTACAATCATATTGCAATCTTCACAAATATGATATATTTTGTGTGTGCATGCGTGCATGTAGCGTTTAAAACAATGTTTTGATATTATAGAGGCATATTCAATGCTGATTAATTGGTGGATTCGGTGCTCATTTTATTTTATCAGCATCATGCTAATTTTTATATGCTTTTCTCTTCATGTCACACATATTACTGTTCTTTGACCTCTTTTTATTCATTTTCCATTTATATTCAATCGTTAAAAACATTGATATCCGGTTTTGTCCGATCTCTTGCATACGAATCTTGCAAGGACGTACACCTTTTAGAGAACCTAACATGTAGTTAAATTGATGGAACGGTTTTTTTTTTATTTACCTAGTTTTATTTTCTAAGGAATTTTTTTTGAGTGAAAGTGATTCTCTTACTTAACCCTGTGGGAACATCATTTCATAATGGAGGGGATAGGTGTGTAAATTTTGTAAATACTTTTGCATTCACTTATAGGCCATTGAATAGATTGCATTTTTACTTCCCTTTGACAACATCTTACTTATCTGCAAATATTTTATTACAATACATTGTGTTTGCACTTTCAGTCGTACATGGACTCAGAGATACGAGCAATAATGGCGCAATACATGCCTCTAGACAGCCAAGCTGAAGTACCGAAGCATGTAAATGACGATCATACTTGAAAATGATGGATGGCGCGCTCGATTACTCGTTCTGTGTGTATGCAATGTGGCAGTAGGTGCAACTGACCCACCCCATCCATCTCCCAAAAATTAATTAACTCTTCAAGTGATGTTTTTAACGGGTAATGGGCGCGATGGCTGCATACTTCTATATGGTCAGTTTCTTGCATCATGGGACTTATGTCCGAATGTAGTTGTCATTGTATCATCATGTAACAGCCTGCCCTGATTGCTCCTTTCTTTATGTGGGCATGTATCTGTATTATCTTTGCGCACTTTTCATGATGCAAGGAGATCCGAACATTATGTACTATGGGGAGAGGTTCTAGTAGTGGTAATAAGTTCATGCATTGCGTCCGGTTATTGAACAATGTTAGGCTGTCATGACCGGTGATTTGGTGTTATTACACGGTTTCGTAGGAGTAACAATGAATTTCTGTTTAAGAATGTTTGCATGTAAAGTACTTGCGAAAATCTGTTAATTTTTATAGAGCTACCTTCTTGAAACGTATGGCAGGTGTTGCCAAGATGTTCTTTAATTATTATTTATTTTTCATAAAAAAAAAATCTTATCAACATACTATTTATATAAAAATTCAAATGTAACGTCTATCTTTTCATCAATTTCAAACTAGAATGAAACAAACGACAGTTATCTTGTAATTTACTAGTAAAAATAATTGCATACATAAGGTGAATCCTGGAGCTGAATCGAAATCCCTTCCCTCTTGAATTAAACCCAATTCTTCTACATCATTAATTTCTTGATATTTCACTTCCTCATCACATGAACAATCAAGAACCATCGTCGTCGTTAACGCCGCCTGAAACCGATCGCGACGCCGACGAACACCACCGCCGGCCGTACCTGCCATGGCTGAGGCTGGAAAATTGGCGCCCCGCTGCCGGAAATAATCTGAGGGACTTCACATTCAGCACTCAAAATCCAAACCTTATACAGAAGCAAATTATTCAGCCTCCACAGACGCCACGTCGCCGGCAAGGCCAACCACCGCCCCGGCCCCCTCCGCCTAACGCCGACGAATCGCGAACAATTCCCGTTAGGGTTTTGGACAGCGGCAGACCACGTGTCTTTACAATCCCTGCCGAAATAAACAAACGACGTCGGGCCAACGGCGGCATTGGTTTCGCCTCCGGCGGATCGATCAAACCAGGCGATCTTTTACGGCTACGGCAGCCTGTTGTGTCCAGTGCCATTGGCAAAGCCGACTTTCTTCCCTGGCCGATTCTTCCGCCGGAATATCAGTCATCGTCCGCCGGCGGCATCGCATTTCCCCTGCCGGACCCCATAGTGCCCATCGGAAATCAACGCCAATGGAGAAGCTTCCAAGGTCCGCCACAAATTAATCCGGCGAACACTCTGCGATCGTCAACCGGAGAACTTCCGGCGCCGGTCGCCGGCGTGTCCGGTCATTCTGCAATTGGTCTAGGGTATAAAACTGCCCTGAATTTTCCCTCTAGGAGCAGCAGAGGTGACTGCCATGGCGGTCCCAGTAGTAGCAGCTTTAGAGGATTAGTGCGGAGCAATCCGGTCGCCGGCGGCGGCTCTGAAATTGATACAGACGTCGGCGGCGAGTTAACATGCTCTGGTTGTGGCGCGTGGTTCACAGCGTGCAGTCCTCTATTGCACCATATGGTATCCGAAGACAAGGACGGCTGCCCGGTATTCACCGCCATGTTTCGTAAGATCGGCCTTTGATATATAACAGCATGCCGGAATGTCCGCCGCCGCGCCGATTGCCGGAATTCTATACACTGTCACTGTTAGCCTATGATTTCTTTTAAATTTTTTTTTTGTTTTTTCTCTAATTTTTTAGGCATAGATTAGAGTGCTGCTCCAAAATACGGAGGCTGTGGAATCAATATCCACTGTTACATGTTGAATCACTTGTTACAAAATATTGCCAGAATAATAATATAATCATTATCAAATAAATATGATGATTACATTGAGTCAAGATATAATTATTAACTTTGATTCTTCTTAAAAAAAAAAAAAAACAATGTTCCGTTTTAGAATGAAATGAAATCCAAATATTTCAGAGATTGGGCGACCTAAAAAATGAGGAAAAATATTCTTCAAGACTTCAAACCCGAGCTCCGAACCATGAGCCCATGCTCGTGTTCGGTCCAAATAAGGACGGAAAATGAGGCAGATTAGCCTGGACTTGCTCTTAATTGGGCAGGTTCATCCAAATTTATTATGTAATGAAGTTGTATATAAACACAATTCAATTGTGTTCTACCGTTCAATGTGGGGTGGTTAGTTAGTTTATCATATTAACTAATTATCCCTAATTGTTTTTAATAGATCATAATTATTTCTTAAGCCCATTAAATCATATTTAGCTCTTTATTAAGAGGTCCAACCTTAATACTTCATCAGTCCCATTGAAAGGTTGTTATTTTTAATTTTTGTCCGTCCCAAAACAAGGTTACTATTTCCTAATTTAGTAATTGTACTACCTACTTAACATAATAAATATCCTTTCAACTTACACTAAATTACAAAAATGTCATTACTTTTATATTACACAATACTAATAGGGGTATTTTCGTCTTTTTCACTACAACTCATTATAATACTAATATTCAAAAATCTACGTGAAAAAAAAGTAAACGACAACTTTGCACCGGAACGCAGGGAGTAATTATGTTTCTATTGGTCCGTAATATTTTTATTCACCAGGTAATCAGTTTTACGAGTATTTTGAATTTAATTCACGAAAAAAAAAAAATTATTATTCAACAATCTGTTGTGACTTTGAATCTTTAGATGCATTGGTGGCCTAGTTGATACGATGTATTGAACTATTTCACCTTAGTGTCCAACAAGCCACGCTAAGCCGAATATGTTGGGATTGTAGATTAGCCCCACAGGTCAACACAAGTCCTTCCAGTACGCTTATGTCCTCACTCACATGCACCATCTAAGACTTTTCAGGTAGTCACCCATCCTTAAATTACTCTAAGATAAACACGCTAACTCTAAAGTTCTTTCAGTAGTATTTCTTAAAAAAAAAAAAAATTGTGCGCATTATTGACATAGATAGTCTATTCAATTGATTTAACCTCTAATCAATTTCAGATAGTCTAATATCGGCTCTTTCACACACGGGGGTTGGCCAAACAATGGCCCAAAGCCGGGGTATCACAACTCCTTCATCGACTTTATCTAAAATGATGAATTCTAATGTTATAGTGGACCGAGCTATACAAGTTTGTTTTGTGAATTCCTATAAAACAAAATCATCTACGATTGTTAATACATATGCGCTTATAGGATGTAAATCTTTAGTGTCAGATATTTAATTTGTATCACTGTATCATTCAAGTACGAGATGATGTGTAGTATTGTGCATGTCAAAATCAAAAGTGTATTTTAAGTAACTTAAGACTCTCACTAGTATGTTTTATTATTTTTTATATTAAAATTTCTATTTAATATGGGTTTTACCTCTTCAATTAGGTTAATTTGTTTAGCACTAATTAATAAGTCATTTATATATATAGAAATACTATAAAAAAAAAAAAAAAAAAAACCTCGGTCATTTGATAACATCCATTATCAAATTTTAGATATTTTTTTATGTAAACACACTTCTCGTCGCATTATCAAATTTTAGATGTCATTGTAATCCTCCACCGTACAATAATTTGTGAGTAATTCTCCCAATATACGTTGTACCTAGAATCAACACCGTATCACAAATATATCAGACAATATATTAAATATAATTTTATAGTGTACATATAAAATAAAAATAACAGTATATATTGATACTTTATATTTTTATATATTATTTATAGTATTTTCATATATACGGGAAAATTCTCAATCAGTAATTCAAACCCATAGATATGCAAATGTTTTAATAACTTGCTGGCATTATTGATTTTCAGATAATTTACTGTAATTTGTTATAAGGGTAAATAACAACAGTTTAGTGATTTTGTGTATAAAAACAGACGAGATAACTAATGGGAATTAATAACTTGACTCATGAATTACCTTCAGTAACATTTATTTAATGAATGACCCATTAAATATAAAATTTGCTAGTTATGGAAAAAATCAAATTATTGTCATTGAAGTGGACAATTATATTAAAATATATATATATTGTATCAATTTTACTGCGGATATATAACTAATGGCTTAGTTTCCCTAATAGTTCGAGTTTTTAGGTGAGACGGTCATTAGCATCCGACATGGTATCAGAACTTAGGTTATGTCTCGAGTTCGATTTGATGTAAAATAAGGATATTTGTAGAAAAAAGTAAAGTATTTAATGAAATGTGTATTTTGTATATTTTTTAACTGGTCGAAAGAAATATAAATTAAATTTTAAAATATAATTAAAGTGTATAGTAATTATCTGGACGAAGGAAGCGAGTAACAAGTACGATGGATTGATGAGGTTATGATTGCTCTTCCATATCCATCAAATTCAATTCAATTATCAAAAGGAAAGAAAAGTTGAAGGAAAAGGATCACTCAACCAATCAAAAGACGCTACTGCTGACACGTGTCCCTCGCTTCGGGAACTTTATTGTACTCCATTAATTATTATTATTAATAAATAAATTCCTTTGTTCATTCCTTACTCTGCTCACCTCACCACACCTCAACAAACACCTCACAATTCTTGCCTTGCCTTGCAACTATAATAATAATAATAATAATACATGATTTATTTAATTGCTTAGGGAGATGTCTAAATTGGGACATGGTAGTTTGGCGATTGCCTACACGTTGAATTTAAAATTCAATATAAATTTAGCATTGTGCTGAATAAGACACCGCTACATTATGTTACTATAGAAAATACACAGTATAGGTTAATATAATACAAATACAACACATGATTTAACAATATATCATATAGTATCACACAAAACATATAATATTTGATTTTACCACATGACATACTCTCATACATCACACGATTTAATTATGAACAAATATTATATTTTTTTAATTATATACAACATGTGTTGTTTGTAATAAAAATATATATTATTTCTGTATTTTATATATGCCGATTTTTCAAATTCAGCAGCTTAACCTTTCTCTTGTTAGTTTTGATATTGGGTTTCCTTGCCAAGGATTAGATTGGAATAAAAAATTTTACCAAATTTTATGGACTTGTAATTCTTGAAAGGCAAGTCCAAGTTGAACTATTTTAGGTATTAAATGAATTAAGATTAATGACCAAATCCATAGTTTCAATCATTTGTCTGTGCGCCGTTAGATGCAATCAGATCGGACGGAGGATCTTTTTCTTTAATCTAATTAAGGAATTTTGCCAAATTTGGCTGCTTCAGCTATATAACAGAAAAAGGAATAAAGTTAGCATCCTCATCCTCAACCTCATAATCATAATAAAAATAATCGTGATAGTAAACTATTAATATTAGTTAATTAATCGTTAATATTATATTATAATAATTATTCTCTTAGTAATAAATAATTAAATATCAAGATTAATTTAATATTTTGTTGCGTTTCATATGATTAAATATGCTACATAGAATTCAATATACTTTACCATACATATTTGAAATATGAGATTATAAAGATAAAATAGTTATTAAATACAAATATTTTATACAAGTCTGTTCACTCAGTTTCTACATGAATTGATTTTTTTGTGTGGTATGAGAAAATATGATGCTAATATAAAAACTAATATTTGTATTAAATAATTGACTTTTAATAAGCGGATAATATAAAAAAATATTTTATTAAGAAAAATTGAATATTAACTATTTTTTTAGTTTTATTTAAAAATTATATTTATTTTTCACATTATTATACTTAATATTAAAATAATTGAAGGTTAACAAAAATAAAAAATAAAAAATAAAATGAAATCAAATATATATAAAATAAAAATAAAAAAGGAAGCAAAACAAACAGAAAGGGGTATGTCTTTTAGTACAATAGGAGTGTCATACATGTCCATCTCTGTGCATATTAGCAACATATGCGTGTATTTGTCTTGACGCGGACAAACTCAGTGGACAATACTAGCGACTCCCGGGATCCCACTTCACAAAAGCCGCACCCCAGCCTGCCCAATTCTATTCTGGCTCTCTAGTCCTGGATCTCTCTCCACATACCATCCCTCCTCCATTTACTTTCGTCAAGTGGACATCACAACACAAACGCAAACACCACTCTCTCGTCTCTTCTTCATAGTAAAGTCTAAAGACACGTAGACATATATAGAGGTGGATAGTTAGATAGAAGATAGATATATATCTATCTATCTATCCGGAAGGGTTTGGCAGCGCTGAATTTGAAAAATCAGCATTGTATTGGTTCTTTAAATCAGCATATATAAAATATGAAAATAGTACACATTTTTATTAAATACAATATATTTTGTTTGTAATAAAAATATGTACAATTAGTTCGTGTGTGTTGTATTAAAATACATCATGAGTTAAAATTATGTAATCTTTGTATTTATATTATATTAAAGTATATTGTGTGTTGGTATTCAGCAGAATGCTTAATATAAATATGAGCCGTGTTTCCTCTCCTACTCAGTGCCCACTCCCATTTGACATATATGTATATGAATGTATGTATTAATGTATACGTGTAAGCCTTCCTTCCCAAGCACATCACGAAGTTTACTTGTGCCGTTCAATTAACAAAACCATATCCAATATTATATTATTATTATTATTATTATTATTATATATAAATTATTAGCTTTTATATATTTCCGCCACATCACAAACTAGCCAAATATATTCTCTGCATACATATACATATATATCTATTCTCATTCTGCTACGCAACTTCTCCACCGCCACTCCCCCCACGCAACTCCCAACCCTACATATACATACAGATATATAGAGAGAGAGAGAGAGAGAAAGATCACTTCCCCAATTCACTCACCCTCACTTGAACCCTAATTCAAATTCAATTCTCTGTTTTCTTCATATCTTACGGCTTCTCTTATCTGTTTGATTTGATCTGATTTGATTTTCGTTCTGAAACCTGCCATGGTTCTAGAGGCTTTGAACTCGGTGGCGCCGCTCAAGATGCGGCGGGGAAGATTCGACGACGCCGAGGACTCGTGGCGGAAATCGAAGCGGCCGCGCCGGAATCTGGATCAGTCGGAGGAGGATGAGTATCTCGCCGTTTGTCTTGTCATGCTCGCTCGAGGCGGTAATTATCGTCCGCCGTCCTCCGCCGCCGCGAAGAAAGATGATGAAGAATCCTCTCTGACTCCGCCGGCGCCGCTCAGCCACAATCCTCACCGGTGCACCGTCTGCGACAAGGCGTTTCCGACGTACCAAGCGCTCGGTGGCCACAAAGCGAGTCACCGCGTCAAGCCTCCGACTGCCGACCAGGACAACAGCCACGCCGCCGCCGCCGCACCGCCGCTGCCATCGTTGAGCTACGTTTCAGCTCTGAACCCTAGCGGAAGGCTTCACGAGTGCTCCATCTGCCATAAATCGTTCTCCACCGGTCAAGCTTTGGGCGGCCACAAGCGCAAGCACTACGACGGCGTAATCGGCGCCGTTAAAAGCCGCACGACATCCTCCACCGTCAGCGATCAGAAGTCCGTCGCGCCGGCGAGACTGACTATTGATTTGAACCGGTCGCCGTCGCCGGAGCTCAATTGCGACGATGAAGTGGAAAGTTCTCTGCCGCCTTTAATCTGAACGCCCAATTTTAGGAATAAAATAAAATTTAATAATATTTATTTAGTTATAGGAAAATTCCAAGCTGGTTCTGTTATTTATTAATCGATGTAAAGGAATTCTTTCATTCATTGGTTGAATATATATAAATATATATTATATTATTTACATTTAATTTTATGAAACTTTTTGTCTATGGATTGTATTGTATTGTATTGGGCATATATGATTTAATTTAATTAAATTAAGATGGGAATTTGAATATAGCTTAATTGACACCGTAACAGCACAGTTAATTTTGACGGGTTATGGAGTTGAAATAAATTTGTACATCAAAATATATATAATATAAAAAAGAAAAGAAAGATTATTGAATATCTATGCGTTTCCTTAGAAAGGTGAAATACTGTGCCGGGTCTTGTTACTTAGCAAGTAATTAATTATTTAACAAGAATTTAAGGAACGTCGTTACGCGGTGTAGGACAATTATTATTATTATTATTATTATTATATTATTATTATTATTATTATTATTATTATTATTATTTTATTTATTTCCAGGTAAGTTGAATGGGAATGTGCTGAAACAAAGGAAATGGAATGGTAATTTAGTGCGTGAGGTTCGTTGTGCTGTCAAACGCGCACTTCATTTGCTTCATGCTTTCTCCCCAAGGAATTAATATTGTTTTTTAATTCTCTCTTCTTCCATCCGCATATATTTGACTGTTGCATTAATTTTACTTCATTTTTTATACTTTCTCCTGTCCAAATAGGTTGTTTTTTTTTTTTAATAACAAATTAAGAAATAATAGTATTTTATTAGTTAGTAAAAGTTTGTAAGAATTTTTAATATATTTTTTTTTTTGACGTTTGCAACTTGAAGTGAGGGAGAGTGTCACGGACCGATATTTCTACCCAGGTTCTCAGTCATAATCAGCCCCATGTATGCGAGCTCTGATCCTGTACAGTTAATCATCGGTATATGTCTCGGTGCAGTGCGTCTTCCGCCTTATTTATCCTGCATTATACGGTATACCCAGGCTTATGCGCACAAGGGACGGCTATAAAAAAAAAAGTAATTATATGTATAATGGTATGTTTATAATTTAGGTGAAAGTTAAATGTATGATTAACTTTTACTAAAATAGGAAATAAATACTTTAAAGTGAGACGAACGAAAATAGTATAAATGGTACTTTGAGTTGGGACAGATGGAGTATTATTATTATTAGGCAGGAATTGTAGCGGCTATCCTCCCTAAAGTCGGTAAAACAAGCCACATTAGACGAATTATATGTAACTTATCGAATTTAATAGCGTGTAAATTAAGTCTAAAAAAACAAATCATACTAAACGAACTATAATCAAGATAATTACATTGGAGGGAGGAGGGTGTTAACAAAGATGTAACGAAGTGTTAGAAGTTACAACACTCTCCTAACATTGTTTAGAAGTAACAATAAGCCAATTATCTAGGTATACTTAATTGATCTTCAACTTAATTGGCTTATTGGCTTTTCCTGCATTTTATCTTTTCTTCTTTGATGATATCAATTTGTGATCATCAATTTCCTTGTTCTAGCTTTTGAATTTTATTTTATTTTATTATTTTTTTTTTTTTAAAAAAAAAAATGATCTTTCCACTAATGCTTTCCATAAATTCTTTGATTTGGCATTCCCTTATTGCATTCTTTCCACAAACTTCTCTGGCCATGCTTAAGTGTGACTTTTTGTTTATTTATTTATTTATGGGTAAGGATTAAGGCATATGTTAATGGGCTGGGTCTCTTTTATATTCTATAAATCAATTCCTTTAGATGGGCTACTTCGCAAAGCCCATCCAACATAAAATTTATTTTGAAAGCCCATAAAAAACAGAGCCTAAAAATATACTCCTTCCGTCTCAAACACCGTGCAATATTTTATTTTCCTTTTGATATGTCTCAAACACCCTGCAACATCTCTAAAATATAAAATAATTAATTATACCTAATCTCTACCCCACACTTTATCTCCACGTATCATCCAAATTAAAAAAATAAAATATATATTTCTTTCACCATCACATCACCTAACTTCTAAATCATTATACTTAATATTACCCACCTAAAAATTTGTGCCAAAAATAAATGTTGCACATTGTTTGGGACGGAGGGAGTATTTTATATGAGCTCATTTGTAATTTGTTTAATTGAAAAAATATCAAAATGAAAAAGTAAAAATAAACAGACCAACTATTTTGACTATCTTATAGTTTAATTACTTTTTTAAGTCTTATTGATCTAATTATTTTTCAAATGTCCTGACAAATTCGTATAATCAAATATATATATGGATGAAAGTCTTCTCTCTCTCTCTCTCTCTCTCTCTCTCTCTCTCTCTCTCTCTCTCTCTCTCTCTCTCTCTCTCTCTCTCTCTCTCTATATATATATATATATGTATATTACTACACATATATAAATATATTACTACACATATATAAATATATTACTACAATGGAGTGTTGGACATTACATTTATATTTATATTTATATTAAGTATAACGGACATTACATTATACGCATTTATTATAATGAGACAACGCAGAGTTGTCTTGCATTGTGGTATAATAATTTCAACGATACCTTTACTACAACAAATTATAAATGTTCTCTAAACTGTATTTTATTATCACGCATTAAAATATAATGAAATAACATATTATATATTTATTACATTTTTTGTGCTCCCATTGTCAAATGCCTACATATTTCTTCACGTTATCAACTTCTTTATTTTATTAAAATAATAATTATTATTATTATTATTATTATTATTATTTCAAAAAAGGCTAATGGCACAATATGTGTTTTTGTTAAATTGGTCCTCAAGCTTTATAGGAACTTGGTTGGATATTTGAATGTTTGGAGTGTTATTCAAATAATATACAAATAATACATAGTTTGATTACACATAGCGCATGCTGTCTATAATAATGACATGTGATGTTACCTCATAATTATAGCGTGTTGTATAACGGTACGTGGTGTGCTAAAATCAATTAGTATTTGTGTTGTATAAGATTATAGCATGTGATGTCAGTTCATGTATTATATTTGTGTTATTAGTTCATAATTACAAGTATAATAATACGTGGTGTCCTGAAATAAAGTATTGATTGAGTTGTATAGTACTATAGCATGTGCTATTAGTTCATGTGTTCTATTTGTATTATCTGAATGCAGACAGTGTGCTACCGGTAATAACACCGTGTACTGCGGTGTGTTGTCATCACAATGCTGAATTTTAAAATTCAGCACTATAGCCGCCGCCTTTGAAAAATTAAGGTATGAAAACTGTATTTTAAATGAAAGATTGTTGAACGTGAAATTTGATTATATCCAAAATTCTAAAAAAACTAATTTGAATATTGTTAACATGTGTTATATGTAGACCTAGGATTTCTATGCTATAAATATACATATATTATCATTTTCGCATTACAATTCTCATATAGTGAAATTTGCGATTTAATAACGTCCCCAAATGTAGATCAATTTAATTGAACTGGTTTACCAAATTTCGTATTCCTTATTGTTTCTTTATTGCTTCCGCATTGCATTATTTTTTATTTATTTTGTTTTATCACAATCCAACCTTTGCAAAGAGGAATATACTTGTAGTTGATAAGACTCATTAAATTTTAGTTGATTGTGCGACTTTTGGTATTTGGTGTTTTTGTGTGATTCTTGTAACTTGTTTATGTTTGTTTTCACGGTGGAAAGATCTTGGTTGAAATCCCCTAAATATAGACCGTGTTGGCGGTCAACGAATTGAGTTTTCGAATTTTATGTTCTAATTGTTTTACCTCTTATGCATGTAATATACCATTGTACATTCGCTATTTTTAACTATTCACGGATAATTTTTCTGAGATAAATAAATTTATGGTATTTGTTTTATATTCTACTATATTTTATATATATATATATATATATATTTTGCTACTCGAATTTAAAGTTCAGCTATCTTGTCCTCGACGTGCATTGTTGTTTTGCAACCGTCAATTATCATATTGTATAAAATACGTAAGATTACAGTCGGTACCATAATAATAATAATAATAATAACTGAGCATTTCATAAAATATTTGGTGTAATGCAATGGAATATATCTATATAAAATTAATATATGATATCGATAGTTCGAACATACATTTTATCTATTAATCATTTACCAGCAAAGAATTTTCAACTACAATGTGCCAAAACAATTAAGAAAAATATATCAAGGATGCTTTTCTCTCAATCGTTTTTGTTTGTACGCAATCTCATATTAAATATATATATATACATGTATACAATATTATTTATAAAGTTATAAATTAGATTTAAAATTATCAACTAATTTATTTACATTAAACTAAATGTAATTTCAAATCAAATTTGTGGGACCTAATTTGCAGGGTATTAGATTCGGCCGAGGTTTATCCAAGACGCATTTTCGAATAGCTGCTGGGAGTTTCAACATTATAAATAAAAAAAATAAAAAATAAATTCAAATTTGTGGAGTAATATTTTCAAACTACAATGACATCATTCAACATGCATGTCAAATGTGTATAGGGCATGAGATTTCTTTATCAAATCATAATCATATTAGAGATGACTAATTGCAATATATATATGGTGAAGAGTAGGTACACTTCCACTTCCACTGAAACATTTACATACATATATATATATATATATATCATCACTTTATTCATAAAACTGAGACGACGAAGACGACGACATACACCTTCTTTTAAACAAATCAAATCAAAATTCATTTTTAATTTAATTTTATTTTATTTTATTTTGCAGCCAATTTAATTATTAACTAAATGCAACGAATATAGCAGTTTTTGGGGACGACACACATTCACACTTGCATTGCATGTAATAATTAAGACATTACTATATATATATATATATATGCCTATTAGTGGTAGCCACCATGGGCGGCGCCGCCGGCTCCGCTAATCTCTCCGCCGCCGTGATGATGCTCCGCGGCGGCGGCGCCGGAAGCTTCCCCGTGCTCTCCACCGTAGGATGCGTGGGCCGGGACCATGATCGGCTTCTTCTTTTTCTTTGCGAGACAGAAGAGACCGACGGCTAGGAACGCCAGGAAGAAGAAGCCGCCGAGGGAGACGCA